CATTGCGTCTACAGCCCTTATAGACTGAAATTCATGTCTCAGACTGACGTCTTCATAGTTCCACAATGCCCAATGCCTGGTTTCACTAAGGGATTCCATTTCTCAGCCGCCGAGGGGACGTGGAAAGTTCATGAAGCCGCTGTTGTAAGATCTGCTACTTTCTGTCTTATAGCAAAGAATCGTGCCACAATTCATACGGGGCACACACTGCTCGATTTCACACCCTCCGATGTTCACCCAAACAGAGCTAATTAACGAGGGCGTACCATAAAAATTATTGTCACTTATATGTGTGACCGTAGACGGGGTTTGGATTTACACTCAACTCATAACCATAAGCAATTATAGCGTCATCGCTAATCTCCACATTTTACAAATAACTAGAGTTCACGCTGAGTTTTCTCAGCCTATTGTTACACTCTCCACCAGTCGTTTCCTTGTAACGGCTTCTAACAGTGCAGATTCTTCAGCTTCCACGCTCACTTACTCAAGTTACTGACGTCAATAAAACAACACCGCATATGTTAGGAAAACGGACTTCTTGTATGCATCCGTTTGTTTTCCAGAATTCGCCGTGTATTCGCAAGGTCCTGCGACTGGCTATCTGGACACAGGTTTTCTTGGTTTTCCCCCTCTCCAAGCTGAGATGGTTCCCAGTTACTACTGCGTGCTTCTCATGCAGCCCTCTAAATATCAGTTTATCGAAATTAAACCTCTCTTCTGTAAATATGCAGTACACCTCGATTCGGAAAATCAAAATTCCGCCGACCTTGTCTCCCAATTCTCCCACCGCTTTCCCTCTTCATTTATTTCTCTATGATTATTCTCTCCTGCCTCTTAACAATTACTCACAAAACTTGCGTCATAATATGAACTACTCGATGTTCCTCTTGAGCCGGGTATCGATTGCGCGAGGCAGTGTTCGTTGCTTTGCCTCGCAAAATCGATACCATGTTGCCGCGCGCGAACTTGGCGCATGTCGAGCCAAATCGGAGCGGTTCTTTGTCCCGCGGCAAAGGGATTCTCTTTCAGTTGAAAGGGTCTTATGGCGTTCCAGTGTTTCTTTCGCGCCAAAAGGGAGAATGAAAGTGTCTAGCTCCCAGACAGATTTACACGTATACTAAAGAGTTATTGTGGAATTCAAAAAGTGCTAATTACCATAACAAAAGTATGCGCGAAGACAAATAGAAGGGCATAGGTGACGAAATGAAAATGCCAATTCAGGATGTGGGCACTCCCCCACTTGCGAGAAGTGATGCTGCTGCTTGCGAGTTGTCTGCGGTGTCCATGCTTAGTCACCAATGTGGGAGTCGTTGATGATCTTCACCACACGCGCTTCCACCATCACACTTCGTCGCCAGCTCTCGGTCTTTGGGAGTCTTCGCCTCTGCGCTGCGCCAGGAATGGCCGCCTCGCCACTCCGCTGGCATGCCCGACTCACTGGGCTGCCTCAGCTAGCCGGCGGTCATGTCCTACTCACCGGGCGTCTGTCGTAGCTACCGCCTCATCACTCCTACGACCGCGCTCGCGCTCGGCAACATTAGTCAACACACTGCAGCTTCCGCCTCTCCACTCCAGCGCTCGGTCTTCGGAATCTTCGTCTCTGTGCTGCGCCAAGAATGGCTGCCTCGGCTGTTGGGCCGTCTCACAACCGACTCACTGGGCAACTCGTCTGCCTCGGACTCACCGGCGGTCATGCCCGACGCACTGGGCAACTGGCGTAGCTACCGCCTCACCACTCCAGCGACCGCGCTGCGCAAGCAAACCTTTTCCTTATCGCTTCAACAGCTGAGCAACCATCTCCGTGGGGGGGGGGGTGATGTGGGAGCTGCCCACAAGGATTTTAAAAAGAAAATGGCAACTTTATTGGCTTCGTACCGAAGAGAAAAGTCTCGAAGTAAGAAGCCTCACATAACTGGTTCTGGTACAAACATATTTATTAAATTGCTAGTATACCACTCGTATTATCTGTAATTATGCTAATACGCTAATAATTCATTCTTTATTTACAGCTGCAGGTACTGTTTACGTGTCCAAGTGGTTCGCATTCAATGAATTCGACTTTATGGCCGACAGAAATACTCCCCACGATACAATAGATACTTTGCCTGATGTAAGTATTTTTCATTACAATATTACTAAGGCTGGAAAAACCTGCCCATCTTACCATTTCTTGGTAATGTTAGGGTTAATAATTATATTGCCAACGAATTTCCCCGTTTGTAACAAAATGTCTTGCAAGGTGCAAACGTTTATCCTCGGCATTGTTTCCTGCTCTTCAGGCACTACCTTGAAGTGGTTGGAGTGATGATGCTTCGTTATCATTTCTCCATCAACCTGGAATTACTTGTCCATTGTTCTCCGTATCGAGACTACATCCGGGAGTGTGAAGTGCACGTGAACTTGGATTCTTTCCCTCAGAATCTTACGTAAGTACTAGTACAAAAATAGCCATAACAATTTTTTGGGCTTTTTCCGGTCATAATAATATTGGTTTTCTTAAAACTGTAAAAACAGAACTTAGAATACCGAAAGCATTTTCGACCACCCTACATGCTCTTGATAGTCTATAATTACATACTCTTTCAATAGAACCTCTGTCAGGGTTTCCATCAGATGGTTTCAGAGTATATTCATTTAATGCGAATGCTCTGTCACCCAAGTTCAGCTGCATACGGCACTTGAAGTATTGTCGGTGGCGGAATTTTCAACGATTGTTCTTCTAGTTTTTTTAGTAATTGAGTATTTTTGATGACACCGCCGTCAGATACCCTGCCTTGACAGCCTACATCAACGTAGAGAAAACTGTAGGCCGCAACAGCCAGAGCAAATAAGACAATGCTGAAAAAATGCTTCTAGTTATAATATTCTGTGCCACAGTTCATTATTGCTTGTAACATAACTTGTTTCCCATCCATAGCACCTATAGCATGTGGAAGTCCCACTTTTTCTCAAATTCTTGTGAAATAGCTAGCCATTCTTCTTCTGAACTTGGAACCCGTAAAAAAATGAATTGTAGATCTATGATTTTTCTCAGGAACCTGGAACAGCATATAGCGCCGAAACTTCGGGGTTCGAAAATGAAAATGAAGAGCCTGTTGTTGCTGTTGAAGGAATGACACCTTCTAGAACACCAGAAGCACCTCGATGTAAAAGGGCCCACACAGATCCTAAGTCTGCCAGCGCCAGAGCCAGAGAAGCGTTTGATATCCTCAAGTCCAGTGCAACCACACCGACAGACCAACAGATCGCCAACGAGCTCAGAAAATATGGCCCAAGCAGCTTAGAACAAGCTTAGAACAAGCATGCAATTAATAATGCTATTTTCGAAGCCGATATGCAGGAATATTCTTATGAATATTATTCTGTTATTATGTTTAGTATCAAGAGTGTGCGTGTCATCCTTGCGTAGAGGATCACGAGATCACAAGTGTCACAAGAGATTTCGAGTCTTGTTCTCACAGTCTTGGATTCGACTCTAGCGAGATAGAAGCAGGTTGTGCTCAGACTTGGCAGAAGAATTGCAGAGTGTACTAATGGTGTACTAGCGCTCTAAGTTAACCCCCCTCGTTGGTGTCTCCACCTTATCGTGGTGAGGGGGTTTGAGTATGCCAAGGACCCTGAGAGCTACACCAGCGGTAGCGTAGCTACTGGCAGGGCCTTCCTTTCTGGACAGGTCAAAGGGTAGGCATCAGACGAAGAGAGACACCGAAAACTGATGCCGGAAGCAGCGTCATCAGCAGCGACTTCAAGCACAGAACAAATGATGCTCGAGATGGTTCAAGTTCGTATAGCAACAGGCGTGACCAGAGTGGTTTGAACGGCTGTTGTTCTGCGATGTGGAAAGCAAATGGAAAAACTACAACATTATCATGTAAGATTTGAGGCTTTCACGGCGGTCACAGTCTGCTTTTACCGGTTCTCACGGTCTCTTCGCTTGCAGATTTCTTATATTTTTTCTTCTACCCTGAAGATGGAGGCGATACGTTTCTCCGAAACGTCGGTTAACACCACATATACACGGTGCCAAATCCCAGAAGACTGCTTTCTTCATACCACATTATCACTTTTCTTGGATAGTCTCTTTCCAAAAACAGAGATACCATGTATACGAGAGGTTTCCTCTGGAGACAAAACAAATCGGAGGGGCGGATAGAAGTGACCAGAAGCCGAGAAAGAAGACGTAAGAAGATGCTGGATGACTTTGGGGGCAGAAGAGGATATTTTTATTTGAAGGAGAAAGCTTGAGATCGCATTAAGTGGAGGAACTGTTTTGGAAAAGACTGTGGACCTGTCGGCGGACAGATTACTGACGAATGAATGAATTATAACAAAAATTACAGCCAGTCTCGAAGATCAGAAGTATAATGACTCCAATTCCAGCTCAGCTTCTGTACAATCAACGTCATCTGTGTAACGTCAGAAACTACTGCCATGTCCCTTAACGAGGAACCCCCCTTCATTCCTTTTCCCCCTCTCCACCTGCCCTACGCTTGCGCCCTTCACCCTTTCACGAGGGACTAGCAGGTTCGTCTGAAAACCGAAAGGGGATTCTGCTGCACGCCGTGGAAGTGTGCGGTGCTCGTCTCGTTCCAAATAATCTTTTGAACATTTTTAGGTTTGCTAAATTAACGGCGGAGTTGGTGCACTATTTTACGTTTTTTCGTCCTCATATGGGACAGCCTGTATTTTTCTTTCACTCGACCAATTATATTATTATACTTCTTTGTTGTGTGTATTGTTTAAATATTTTTTTACCCCAAACCACTTTTCGGTCCTGGGCCTTGGTACGTTTCATCAGCTACTACCTATCTAACTCAACAAGAAATCCAGGAGAACGAAGCTGTTGGAGCCACAACTCTTGAAGAAACGATTGGATAGTTTTCTTCAATCTTTGCATAGAAATTGGAAATGCCACTAATTCAGTGATTAATTCATGCCAATACTTTGAAAAATAAATACACACTAATCTGAAAATCTGATGTTTTATTTTGACTTACCTTAATACATTCCTTCAGGGCCTCAATGATAGCATCTCAAACCTCGGGCACTATTCTTGATGTACTTTGTTTGGACAGTCGGAAGAGTTATTGCAAGCTTGTATAGGAGTCTCCAGTGGCTAAGAATCTCAAAGTAACAACCATCCTCTCCCTCACAATAGTCGCTTCTCGAAATTGTGTGTCCATTTTATTCACTCTTGGTTCGATCAATGAGGTTATGTTTCCGAAATCTGATAATGACATTTGCGTAACATTTTTAAGTGTATCTTCCACTAATTCAAATGTTATATCTCGCTTAAGTCTATTTCCATATTGCATTCGCTGACGATACAATTCCATCATCCACCAACGCACTATGGTCTCGGTTTCCTTTTTTCTTCGATAATGCTGAACATCAACATAAAAGCAGCCACTGGACGTGCAGTATTCACGGCGATCTCTCGCACGAACAGCTGCACGCGGCAGCCGATACCCAGCCTGAGCACTGCTCACACCCGTCCACAGTTGACGCACCTCTGTTATTAATGTTTTCACATAACCTCGATAAGTAAGCCAAAACCTCTTGGGTTGAATGCGTTTAAGATCACTTCTGATGAGTTCCAATGTTACAGAAAATAAATAATAACGTAATTAACTGTTAATGCAATATAAAATATTATTACTTAAAATTACAAATGTTTACTCTTAGGCAACAAAATAGGGCGAAACGTCACAACGGAAATCAATTCAGGAACATTACCTGCCTGTGTGGTAGAAAGGCCTTCGATTTAAGCACTTCTGCGTGACCTTGATTTTCTTCGGTAACGCACCTACAACGTAAATCATTGCACACTCAAACTCACGTATAGAATGTAAACATTTATTCTTTCGTTATTGAGAACATTCACATTCAGTTGAACTGAAAATTTTAATTCGAAATATATTGAGCACTGAAATAAGAACAATCCATTCACAATCATCTTCGACGTCTCTTGGACTGTGAGTTCCTAGCAGATCTGGGTTTTTGTAGTCCATGCAGATTCTTGTATAAGTCTGGCATTTACAGATGGTGAAGTTTCAGCATACGAATAGATCTGAATATAAACACTTATATTATAGGTTTCATGGATCTTACGCCGTGTAATTTGGTATGTAGGAGCTGTTATTTCAGAGGAACCTTGTGATTAAATCTTCAGAGTAGAATGGTCTGAAGGCGAATTAAGAATTCCCCGAAACGTCCGTTTCTATCTGCCAAACTACACCGCGTCACGTCCTGGAAGGCGGAAGTCTGCACGCCTACTGCCGTGAGAACCCAAAATATAGAAAATGTGAGCACGAACCGGAACCGGAAACAGATTGTTCTGAACAGATAAGCAAGCGTGAGGCCTGTGGTGAGATTGTTACACCTGCCAGGCACTCTGGGACGGGGGCCAGCCCCGCTCTGTACTCAGTTCTGGGTTCAGACCCGAGACGAACGCGGCCGGTTTCTCACTGGTTCAGCAACAAAATGGGCATAAGATGCTCACGTGAAGACATGTGGACACACGCAGTCTGATATGTTCAGGGACTAATGCTGGCATCCTTGGGAACGATGAGATCACGAGACTCCCTCAAGGCGGCGCTGCAGTTGCTGGTACATGTCTCCACCACATCAGTGTTGCCCTTATGTGAATCAGCATCCTCTGGTCTGTGGTACCTCTTGCAGAAGGCTGTGATCCTGTGACAAGCTTCTCGCAGCTGTTCTTCTGGCACCGTCAGCACCAGCCGCATGTAATTTGTGTAGTCGAAACACTGTAATGGGACAGAAACAGTCTGCTGATTGCCTGAGTGACCCACACATTTGCATGCAGAATTAATCAGTGTTATCTTTCAGCCAGGCATTGGACTGAGGTTACGGGTGGTTTTAAACTGCCTCACGCGTCAGAGTGACTTCGATGATGCTTTCTAGTGCCGCATTCCAGACTATTTAATTCTTTTTATTCGCTATTATAGAACAAATTGAGGCACTATGCTACAAATCGGAAGGTCGCGGATTCGATTCCCGTTGAAATTATTGGATTTTTTAATTGACCTAATTGACCTAAACCTTCCAGCAGCATTATGACCCTGATGTCGACTCAGCCTCTAACAGAAATGAGATTCAGGAATTTTCCTGAGGGGGGGGGTTAAAGGGCGGCCGGCGCGTAAGGTTGACACCCTCATCGTCATCTGTGAGCCGACTGTCTAGAAAATGTAGGATCCTCGACGTCTTATAACCCTATGGACCTCCACTGCCTGTTACAGGGATAGGTTGGCACTTTTTTTATTTTACCTTGAACCGTCCGATTCAAAATCCAAACCTTAAATTTTTAAAGGGTTCGTCTAAGATACAATGAAGTATTTTCTTCCTAATTTAACAGTGCAAGACAGTTTAAGTAAATAAGTCGTTGGTGTAGAAGCGACTGATGTTCAGCGTGTAGACTTGTGTTCTGGACATGTGAATCTTGCCTCGACTGAGGGCTTTCGCGGGTTTCTCAGTTCCTCAAAGCAGTGTCGGGATTGTGCCTAGATTAGGCCATGACTGCTTCTTTCCAAATCCTTCCAATTAAGCGTCCTGTCATCCGACTCTATATGGAATCGAGAAGGGAATCACCGTTAAATAACGGACAAAACAGAACAATGTGAGGTAACATGGTAGCACGGGTGTCGCTACTGGGATGGGGGCATACTTTGGATAGAATAAAAATGTTATTTTTTTTTTCGAAATCCGTCCCTGGAGGAGGGAGATGCCTCGTCCATGCATGCAAAAGAAGTAGCTACAGAAGTAGCCCATGTTTACTTAATTAAAGTCAGCAGCATATGAGAGGGTAATTGTGTGAAGCTGCTGTTGCTATGGGGGTGCAGCGGCGTCTTGCCTGCCCTACCTTGCTGGGAAGGCAGAACACAGACTCTTCCGTGACCATCTGCTCGACGAAGTTCAGCTCCGACGCGAAATCTGGAAACTCGGCCATGTTTATACCTACCTGTGGAAAGCAGGGGCAGCTTGAGAAGAAAAATATTGAACTTTCATTTGCGCACTTTAATTCATCCTTCAAATAATTATTCCCCAAAATAAATAATCAGAACTTTGATTGAAGAGTTCGATCTATTTGGCTGCATGCCGTTCGGAGAGATCCCGCCTTTTCGGTATAACAAATTGTCTCCAAATTCAGAGTCGAAGAGTAAGCCAACTCAACTCAGAAGTCCGCATTCCTTGCATTTACGGCCACGAGACTCGGTTCAGTTAAACTGCTGAGATATTTGCATACGACTACAGCCAGTTCAGATGAGCCCGCAGTTATTCAACTGGGCAAGAAATACTGCGACTACTGGAGGGAGCCCACACCGTTAGATTTTAATCTGAGGCAGCTCAACCCATCTACACCGTGCTTCTCTAAGATTCATTTTAATATTATATTTCTTATATATTACGTCTCCTTAGCGGTCTCCTGTCTTCTTTGTGTCTTCCGTATGGTTCTCACAATAAACAGTGACTGCTTCCATAAACAGCATTAACCGGTTGGGCTTTTAAGGGAAAAGGAGTTCACATTATGATTTTGTAGAGTGTGGCACCGTGCAGTCTTGCAGGTTGATGCTAAAGTTTCATTGGTTGGAGGCAGTGTATTTCCCGTTGGTGTCTGCCTACAAGACTACAAGGTGTCACAACCAAGGTGACTACAGTGAGAACAAAATCTCTCGGAACTTGTATGAGGAGCTATGTGTTTCCTGCGAGGTACGAACGGAATATGTAAATGACGTTGAGGACTGTCTCAAGGACCTACTTACCATCATGTACATGGCTCCTTTCGGCATGAGTGGAGTCAATCCTTTAGCCCCCTTCAGCATGTCGTACGCAATATTGGCGTGACACTGCAAGAAAGAATTTGTTTCAGTTCGATAATCTGTGTGTGTGTGTGTGTGGGGGGGGGAGGAGTATCTTTACCCTAGAGCTGGGATCTCCAAACTTTTCGAACCGCGGGCCACATTAGGTAATTCAGCACTTTCAACGGGCCGGATAAAATGAGAAATTAATAACTCTAGGTATATGAGTTTTATTGAAAGCACAGAATTTCATAAACTAAATACAAAGTACGCGAGAATAAATTATCGTATATTAATGACAACAGACAGTAGCAGCAAATGCTCATATTTTCATCACAAATTATAATAACACAATTAATGAGAATGATGGAACTCTTTTTGCATTCTTAAAATCTGATTAAATTGAGGTTCAAATTTTGAAACGCTAATCACATGTAGCGACTTTAAAAGTTTATCGGATAAATTTGCCCTGTANTCCTTCCTTATATTTGTCTTTAATATGATAATTTTCCTGAAGTTCAATAATTTCCATTTGAATTTGACTTGGGACATCTGCAGCATCACAGTCAATCGGATTTTGAAACAATCTAATTTCTTGAGCACTGGAATCCAAATTCGAAAATCGCTTCCGAAATTGTTCTTTCAAATCTGAAATGACTAAATTTGAAAACGAGGAAGGGAATTCTGCTTCACCCTTTTTATGCAACTCTGCTCAGTATAGCATATGAACAAAGTTACAATTTTTCACTTGGCTTTCCAGAAATATCAACTTTGCTCTGAATGCCTTGATAAGTGCAAATAAATCACACACAAAGTTATTTTCACCCTGCAACTTTAAATTCAAATGGTTCATATGGTTCACCAGATCAGCAAAAAATGCTAATTTCCAAAGCCACTCAGCATCTGATAAAAGTGGTTCGTGATGGTTTTTCTCGGTAAGAAATATATCAATTTCATTCCTGAGCTGAAAGAAGCGCGAAAGAACTTTTCCACAGCTAAGCCATCGAACTGCAGTATAATATGTCAGGTCAATAAGCTCGGAATCACATTTACCAGTACTCATTGGAAAAGTAGTTCAGTTGGCGCATTTCTGCACAATTCTTTCGCAGGCAGGATAAAATCATATCGCGGGCCGTAGTTTGGAGACCCTTGCCCTAGAGCATTGGCTGATAAGATTCTAGACGAAAGTTGGTTTGAAAGGAAATGCTCGTGGCCTAAGTAAGAGTAAAAAGTAAAGCTATCCCTGTAACAGGTCGTGGAGGCCCATAGGTTTGTGAGATGTCGAGGTTCCCACATTTTCTAGACAGTCGGCTCATAGATGGCTGTAAGGTTGTCAGCCTTACTCGCCGACAGCCCTTTAACCCCAGGGAGATTCCTGGTACTCATTTCTGGTAGAGGCTGAGTCGACCCCATGGCCATAGTGCGGCTGGAAGGATTAGGTCAATTGAAAAAATTCAATGACCTCATCGGGACTTGAACCCGCGACCTTCCAGCTTTTAGCATAGCGCCTCAACCAANCGCTACCCCCCCCCCCACGAATGCGAAAAAGGAAATAAAAATAAAAGCAAGTGGCATAAATTGAGGGAATATTCATGTTCTTAAGAAGTTTACATTTCTGTTTCCCTAAAGGAAATTTGAAAATGCGCTCGGAGTTTGTACTCTGAGCGGTGAAACGGAAGTCACTTATCCGTGCGTTTGTGTCTTCTCTTCCAGACAAGGAAGTCAAGTCACTACTGTAGGAGCAGTCGAGACTTCAACTGAAGTCCCAGTATTTGTTAAATAAGCATTCGTGCTGTTAACACTCTTGCCTTCTCCTATATTTCTTTCTAGTCTTACATGTTTGTGATGGTGAAAAATTCACTCTCGGGATTTTGAAGTATTTGCACATTATGAGGTCCCTTCAATTCAAAAGAGTGGTATTTGGCTTGCCACCTCTCTATCGGTAAGTACGCATGCGCCTCGCACCGCAAGAGCAGTTGAACGGATTTTATTCGTTTCCTTCATTCAATAGTTTACGCATCCTAGGTTGGTGCCTGGTGAATATGACAATTCTAGCTCCGAGTCCTTGAAATAGGCCCCAGAACACAAATTGGCGATTATTTAGAAACCTGCTTTTACGTTTTTGTTTATATTTAAGTAATATATGACACAATCTAACTAGCTTCACGGAGCTGAACCCTTATTCAGAAGGTGCCACTTGTGCAGTTACTTCGGTCTGTCTTTGTAGCGGAGACGTAATATGTTTACTGTGAGGTACGGACTGGATACTTATATAGTATATACCTGAACTACAAGCAAATGTTCTTGTTAACCCGTGTGGAGGCGGGGTCGAATACCTTCGCCGTGACCCTGCGAGTCGTAGGAAGCGATGAGAAAGGAAGTCTCAAATCTGAGATAATAAAATATGGTCGCGGGTCCCAAGGAACTCAGACCCGAGAAAGACTGCGCTGGCAAAGGCCAGCAGCATATAAAGAGACAGACCGGTCCTCTCGTTAGAGAGGGCGCCCCACAATAACAAGACCGTAACTGTCAAACAGAAATACATATCTGGTCTCGACACCATGACTTACTGACTAACTGACCGTCAGTTGCAATGTGACTTTGACTTTGACAAGCAAAAGTCCTACAAAATCATGACAATGAACAGGTTCGCGGTATAGGACAAAGTGAAGCCAGACACATAAAATATAAGCGGCTTAAACTTGCCGGTGGTCAAGCTTACGACCGTTCAAATGGCTAAGCTGCCACTGTAGCATAAGATATGTAGGTTAGGCATGATCTGCTCTGTTAAGCCTGTACTGACAGAGGACTTGTGTGTAGTGCAAAAGGAAGAATTTTCAATAACGTTATATGAGCGAACAATACATTTGACAAAAGGCCAAACGTATTCATAAGAGACAAACCCATCTTCTCGTCAGAGAGGATGTTACATAAGGACTATTACCGCAAAGTACAGTTGGGAAAAAGAATCTCTGGTCGTGGGCCTCAAGAGTCTGACGCCAAGACTAACTGATTGGCAGTAAACCGCTAGTCTCAAAGTAACTCTGCCTCTAACTCTGACTTGAGGTATGAGAGGGATGCGGACCAACCTGCAGCGTCATAATTGTGTCCTGGAAGAACTTCTCTGGAGTCCTAGTGAAGATGCTGGCCAGGGCCCCCTGGACCAGTGTGTTGCTGCCCAGTATCCTCTGACTCAGACGCTGGAGCCCGGCTCGAACCTTCACAACACAACGCAACACCGCGCTTCAGAGCCACGTCGGAATAAACAGTTACGCGGTAACTTCTTGCAGCAAACGAAGAGTTCTGTCTTCTGGGATATACGTATAACGCCGTGTAGTCTGTTGAGAGGCAACGGACTTTTGGGACGAACATGAACAAGCTCTGGTTGCGACCTGCTTTGCGCTGGTGGTTTCTTGCTCGCCTTATTCTTCGGCCCTGAATATGGAGGCGTTATATGCCAGAAAATAGAACCCTTCATAGCCACCGCTGTGAGGACCTCAAGTAATATAGTAATGTCCTGTGCGAGTCTGAATTCCCCACTGGTCTATGAATAACGGAAGTAAGTTGGAAATAGAATATTGCACCTTTATAATGAAGACGTCACGGTTTGCGTCACTAACCGACAATGCCGCACCCCTGGATGCAGTATAACTTGCTTCCTGGTTGAGTAAAAAGGATACTTACGAGTGCATTCAGGATTAACCAGCAATGCCCACGCCTGCGTACATTTATCGCCCATCGGTGCTTTACTCGCAACATCCCAACTCAGTCTTAATGTCACCTTTTTCTATAGGGCCAGCAAGTGGCGCGCCTCGCGGTTTTATGGAGAAATACCAGCACCTGCTGCCACTGAAGATTATACATTTCCCTGGGCATCACGATGATTAGGGCTCGGATTTCTATGACATGTCATATTTTTATCCTGGCATCTTTTCACATGTATAATTAAATATAAACACATTTCTGACTCTTGTGAACATGAAAATACGGTTTTTATTGGTCATATAAATGCATATTTGAACCATATTTTAGCTTTAGGTCATATTTGGGCCCGAAGTGATATAAAATCATATTTTTGGTCATATTTTAGGCGAGTTTCACTTATTGCTCAGAAATATATTTGCAAGTATTGGCAACGATGTTATTTGGAACTTCATTTCTTAGAAATATTTGGCCTTGTGTAACGGGATTTGAAGGAATACTGTACAGTGTGAAGGGTAACGGTTCTTGACCTGGCGTAGAATCAACCAGTTTGAAAAGAGAAATTGCCACCTCTGCCTCTGTCTGTCTGTCTGTCTATCTATCTATGTCTCTTTTTCTCCTCCACTGCAGTGATACCTGAAGTCCAGTTTGTTTCTTGCATATTGGTGAAAAATTTTTCCATCCACAAAGCGGTAAATTTCTACCCTCTCCCCGAAACCCGTCCAATACAGTACTGTATTCATAACTTCAGTTGTTCAGTATAGTTTCAAGATGCCTAAAGTCAAGTGCTCTAATAGCGTGAAGTTGCGTGGTTTTATTAAAGAGTTTGGTGACAAATATTTTAGTACTGACGGAGAAATTTTATTTTGCAAAATGTGTGAAGTGAAAGTTACGGCAGACAAACGTTTTACGGTGCAACAACACTGCAATACAGCTAAACATAGAAGCTGTGTAAACAGAGAAATTACCACGGAAAGTAGACAGCGATTGTTGTTTGAAAAGTCATCCTCCAGTTCACCGAAATCAGGAAATGCCTCCGAGTTTTCAAAGGATCTTTGTACTATGATGGTTTCATCAAATATTCCATTACATAAAGTAGATACACCTAGTTTCCGAAACTTCCTCGAAAAATATACAACTCATCCCATTCCGACCGAATCCACATTAAGAAAGAACTATCTCACTTCCTGCTACGATGTTACCATCAATAAAATAAGAAACTGTGTCGGAAATAATAAAATATGGGTGTCTATCGACGAAACTACCGACGTAAGTGGTAGATTTGTAGCGAATGTTGTTGTTGGTATACTGAAAGATGACCAGCCTCGAGATATATTCCTGTTGCCATGTGGGGTGTTGGAAAAAGTGAATAATTCTTCCATTGCTGTTGTTTTCGACAAAGCGATGAATTTGCTGTGGCCAAATAAGGTAGAACGAGAGAATGTGCTCCTCTTCATAACAGATGCCGCTCCATGTATGGTAAAGGCAGCAAAGGGACTTCAGGTACTCTATCCCAAAATGATTCCTGCAACGTGTCTCGCACATGCTCTGCATAGGGTAGCAGAAGAGGTGCGAGAGGGCTACTTTGATGTAGATAAATTAATAGCAAATGGGAAGAAAATTTTTGTTAAGGCTCCACTTCGATTGCAGAAGTTTAAAGAAGAGGCTCCATCACTACCCCTTCCCCCTAAGCCTATTCTAACACGATGGGGGACTTGGCTCGATGCTGCAGATTATTATTGCACACACTACAGTGTGATTGAAAATATCGTCATGAAGTTTGACAGAGATGATTCATCTTCAATTCGAACTGTACAAAATTTGTTTTCATCAACCACGTCAAGAAATCTAGCGTACATAAAATCAAATTTCAGTATGATATCAAAATCCATCATTAGACTTGAAGCTGTGGGCATGCAACTGTGCAATGCATTACAAATTGCTAAGAAAGTTGGAAGTGAACTACATCAAGCACAGGGCGAAGTTGCTGCGAAAATTAGTGCAAAATCTCAAAATGTGCTCCAACGAAATCCTGGATATTCAACACTGTGTACAATTTCTGACATTCTTTGTGGCAAAGAAGTTGAATTTGATAACAGTGAATGAGAACTTGACGCAAGTGATTTGACTTGTTTTAAGTATGCCCCTGTGACATCTTGCGACGTAGAAAGGAGTTTCTCCAAATACAAGGCCAGTGTTAGTGACAATCGGAGGTCCTTCAAGTTCGAGAATTTGAAAATGCATGTTGTCATTCAGTGCAACTCTACTGAAAAGGAAGATTAAGGTACCGTACAAATTATTTACCTGCAACTATTGGCACACTTTACTTTACTTTTCACGCTAAAATAAACAGTACTTTCCTTCATGTTTTCTCTTTACAGGGTCAGCATTGTGTTGTGATGGATGCTTCATGGCTTAGAGACATTTATTCAGAAAAAATAACTTTGTAAACTTCTTAATAAATTGCCATTCTTAGGAATTTTTGTTAAATATTTACTTATTTTTTATGGGCCATTCTGTCATATTTTAGGTCATATTTTGCCATTTTTAGGGCATAAATGCATGCATATTCTCAAAGTTTTTAGGTCATAGAAATCCGAGCCCTAATGATGATATATGAGGTACTGGAATTGTAGCGACTGTGCCGCTTTACCAGGGAAGCATCCCACGTGCCCAATATGTTGGCTCCTGTCTGGACGCTGTGGAGAACACAAAATGTATCGTATTTTCCGGGAATCGAACCCTAGCCGCCCAGCCCTTGCCTAGTCGCTATACCGACTGAGCTATCCCGGCTCCTGGCAAAATTGGGTGCAAATGGTAAGCAGTGGGCTCTTGAAATAGTGTTTACATACCCCTGCCGTTTCGAAGATGCCATGTCTGTCGTGAATAGTGATCCAGCCCATTCTCCATCCGGGAACCAGGAACCTGCAAGGAAGCTCTGATTATTATTTGTATGAAGTATGGCCTGCAGATAGCTGCTTGAATAACGTACAGACATAAGCTGAACACTTTGATCAAGATATTGCCAGTTTATATAGCTCAGAGAGATCTAAAACCACGGAGAAGCTAATCGTTGCTTAGCTCTTCAAGCTATTTTCAGCACTTTATGGAACCGGGAGGCTCATTACCGTGTTCACAAGCGTCCGTATCCTGAGCCAGATGAATGCACTTCACACCCTCTCATCCTATTTCTTTGAGATCCGTTTTAATATTATTCTACCATCGAAGTTCAGCTCTTCCAAGTGGTCACGTGCATGTGACGCGTGTGTTATATATTCCGCTCATCCGATTGGATAGTATTCGGCATAATACGAAATCCTAGACTTCCTGTTACTTTCTCCCCCTTAGGTCTTAATATCGCCCCGAAACCCCCCTTTCTGGGCGATCAATATGGATAATTGAGCCCCTACCAAGCAACGGCTAGTGAAGGCTTTGTGTGTGCTGCAATTACGGCGATGTTTGAAGTGCGTAACTCAGTGAGATTGTCGCCGTTAATAGCTTTAGATCTGTAAGTTTTCAATAAATCCAACAAATCCAAACCCCGTCTATAGTCACTCACGTGACAATATTATGGGGAGCAACATGGGGACAGAGGGCACATGTCGGCAGATTGTGGTGCATTGGGGCTGGAATTATGGTGCCTGTGACTTGGTTACTTTTTTCATTCCGTTTGCCTGTACGCACCGTTTTGTAATACCGCTGCAGGCGAGAATTGGGACGTCATCTGAAACCGACGCCAAAGGATGGAACGTCTGCCCTGGGAATACCTGAAAGTGAAACAGATTTGAGACAAGTCTCTCAGCAGTGTCCGATGTCCAGATGAACAATTCCTCCTTTGGCTCAGAGTCTATCGTTTGACGCGGCTCTCCGTGTAGTCTGGTAGGAGCATTAGGCATACTCACCATGTGCTCGTAAATCTCGTCGGCAATGACTGGCACGAACTTGGCGCGTGCCACCTGCAGGATGTCTCGCAGGTGCTGCCGGCTGTACACGGAGCCACAGGGATTCGACGGATTGCTGACCACCAGCGCCGCGGTGCTGGCGTCTATCTGCTGCTCCAGATGCATAGTGTCCACCTCCCAGCCGCGCTCTGGCTGGAGGAAAGAATTAAACTCTATCACCGCCATTCAGAATTTATATATTGTGGGAAGTGCACCCGTTGCTAGGCAACGACCGTGAGACAAGCAAATATACAGCAGCCATCACCGAGTAACTGCTTCGAAAGCAAACATGTTCCCACGGCAACAATCGAACTACAATGATGAGCGGTGTTTTCTGTGCGCTCCGTGCCAAAATGTTACGAAGGGGACGGTCACAAATGGAAGTAAACTATAATGGACGTAATTTGTTTTCTATGGGTATCACTAGGTAGCAGCACAGTCCAACTTCATGACAGTCTAGTTAGCAGAAGCGCATGCGCATGTTCAGGGACTGATTTCAGTAGTCATAATGGCGACGGTGCTTGAGGATACCGAAGACCAGCGTTCTGTTTTGTGGGCATAAAGAAACTCAATGCAAAGGATATGGATGTCCATAATGAAATGTTTCCAGTTTACAGGGGGAAGTGTCTGTAGCTTAAAGTGGCTCACAACTGGGTGGCAAAGGTTTCGCTGATTAAGAAGAGGCTGAAACAGAGGCGCAGAATGGCTGAGACAACAGTCAAAAGGCTTATATGCTGTGGGCTTCGACGCACCGGTAAAGCGTTGTGACAATTGTATCGAAGGTGGTGGGGGACATGTCGAGAAATAATTTTTTCCCCCGTTTCGAATATACAGTGAGTACCTGGAGAATGTTGAACCATCTACTACTCTAACTGACTTTAGAGGTTGTGCTCAGGTGGGCCTCATGGACGCCGCTGGGTTTGGAGCGGCTGTGAAGATTATATTTCAGCAGTTTTTGGTGATAGCCCTTGAATATGCAAGATGGAAAATAAAAAAAAATCATACTTTTTCGTATGAATATCTGTAATATTTCCTTCTATTTTCAGTTTTTCTTTTTTCCCCTAAGAATCCATGGGAGGGGATGTTTGGACGTACTGCATGCTCCCTACTCCCGCAGGCTCCCATCGCGGCCCCAAAGTTAATTAAAAATATTCTCTTTTGATTCTATTCAATTCACAGTTCATCTTCAGGGACTGAGGTCGCATGAGCAGAGACAAATGCAGTCATACCCTGAGATTGTAGGATTTGACGTGAATTCCGAGACTTTCCGCGAGAGTGCGGTAGAGTGGGAAGCCTGGCCTTGGAACCAGGATGTTCTGCCCGGGGTTCGCGAGCACAGTAATGGCGAGGTCCAGGGCGCAGGAACACCCACTGCACAGCACCACATCCTGCGAACAACAGTTCATAACAAGCGTTTCAGACCACAACTCATAAAGCACAGGATCCACCGAAAACATTGCCGGGGTTCCAAACTGAGGAAGACATATGGGGGCCTTAGTTGTAGTACTTAAGAGCTGACAGTCCTCCGACGCGAGGTAGGAGAAGTATTCGTAGTGGCGGGAGAGCTCCAGCATGCCGATAAGCGAGGAGGGGAATAACTTCTTACCTCATTGTGTTGCATAGTGTGGTGATTTATTCTCGTTGATGTTCACACATCCGATGTTAAGTTTTAATTGCCGAATGGTAGACTCTTATGCACTGTACACTATTATACACTTTTCCTGTTATATACAAGAAGAGTTTATTTACATATTACACGGGTCTATTCTAAAGGGGTAACACCAGGAATGTCCGCATAGATATCATCCCCACGTGCCTGTCCTTCCACGTCACCACCAGATGAATCGGAGCTATCATCAGAACTGTATCACTGTCACCGCCAACATGGAAGACGAACTCCCGTCCTGCGTCCAAAAGGCCTTCGCGTGCCATTAATTGTTGCTCAGTTTTCCTTACATGTTGGCACCTACGTCCCAATTCTTCTGCAGTTATGGAAGCCAATTTTTGGTCTGCCAGTTTAATGACGTCATCCATCTTAAATGTGGTGTTGTTTTGAACAACCCAATTTTTTTTACGGTGGCCCATATTAACTCAATTGGGTTGAGTTCTGGGTGATAAGGAGGGAGTCGTAAAATATTGTGATTGTGTTCTGCAAAGATTCCATCTATTTTATAGGAAAGGTATTTCCGTTTGAGCGGTAGGATCATATTATATATGTCTGGATCCCGCAATGATGAAAAATCGGTGTTATTGAAGGTAGTAGGTGGAAGGTGATATTTTAGCCAGGATATCAGAGAATCTCTTCTTGAATTTGAGCTAGGGGCTCTGTTTAGTTGTATATTATGGTAGAGAGCATTATCAATGACAAGGACAGAATCTGGGAGAAGGTTAGGAATAAGTAGCTCCTTTCACCATTTTTCATAATTGGTGTAGTTCATGTCACTGTGGTAATCTCCTGTTTTTTGGTGCGATTTGAAGCGGACATAGGCATTAGGGATGAAACCTTGCTCTCCCCCTGCATGGATAACGATGGGCCGTTGGCCTTTGGACACAAGGGAAAATAATCCCTGGATGGATCCATCACTTCATGCATATGGGGTGGTGTGCGATGAATGAATATAGGTTTCCATGTAGATGATTGGGCGATGAATGAATATAGGTTTCCATGTAGATGACTGGGCGGCCCTCTTCCCTATATTCTTTAATTTGCCGCAAACACTGAAGACGTTTGGCTCTGATATATCGTTTCACCAGTAGCTGCCGATTATTTTTTGTTTTCTTCCAGCGGAACCCCAGTTTCAAAATAATTTTCTTTTATGTAGAGATGCAGCCCTGAAAATCTAACGTTTTCTTCGACTTTTTGTGAACTTTTTTCAGGGAAGGTCTCAGTTTTTCGGTCATGTAGAAGTCATCAATTGTTCTTCGCACAACAGACTCGTTAAAGTCGTCCAAAGTGGCTAGTGAAGATTTCCTACTTCTTTCTTATTTTTTGTTTCTCTTATTATTCTTCTGACACTGCTTTCCGATACACATGTTGCCTTTGCTACTGCCAGTCCTCTGTTCTTCACTGTAATTGTTGGCCCAGCCTCTTTCATATACTTATATACATTACTAACAATATCTCTTGATTGTGAATGCAACACTTTTCCATTCAATTTACTTCGTGTAGGTGGCATGTTAAAGGAGGTAGAAAAATGTACAAATATAAATAAACAAAAAAGAAAATCAACGAATAAAAATAAACAATAAAATAAAATATTAATACGGTAATTAGAGAATAATACACTCAAATACGACACCGAGAGTCAAAACTTTTTAACTTGAACTGTACAAGGAAGAATGCTCTTGGTACGTCTGCTCGCACTGAATGCAGCCGAATGACTAATCACAACACCCCTCAACTTTCACGAATGGACCTGCCCATCCACTGCGCAGCTTTCCCTGGACTGTCACTTCTAAATACTAGAACTTTACTCTGTGCCACTGACACGATTTGCGCGCGCATCACAATTGTGGTTAAGCGACAGCAGCTATCGTACAGCAGAAACGACAGGCCGTGTTGTGGGACTCAGAATGTGAACTTATTAATTGAGCTGAGCTTGAATTTAGATTTGTTTTTACGGAAGCTCAATCTTGAGGAGGGTACCGGTAAACGTGTTTGGGGAAGCCGAAAGTTGGGGAGAGAACCGGCAAAACGTGTACTTAGGAAGCTCAAGCTTGAGGAGGGTACCGGAAAACGTGTCTGGGGAAGCCGAAACTTGGGGAGAGAACCGGCAAAACGTGTACTTAGGAAGCTCAGTCTTGAGGAGGGTACCGGTAAACATGTCTGGGGAAGCCGAAACTTGGGGAGAGAACAGGCAAAACGTGTACTTAGGAAACCAATGCGTGACGAACGTGGCAACCGTGTATAGGACACGGCGCTGATTATAATAAGTATTAGTATGAAATAAACTGGTTAGTTGTTATATAATTAATGTAAAGTCGGTCTAGTGGTTAGCGTTCGATTCCCGCCGCTACCATATATTTTTCTGAGAAGTAGTGGGTCTGGAACGGGGTGCACTGAGCCTCGTGATGATAATTGAGGAGCTATTTCAAGGAAATAGCGGCTCCGGTCTAGAAAACCGAGATTAACGGCCGTGGGGATTCGTTGCGATGACCACGCGACACCCTCTATCCGCAAAAGTTGGCAGTAAACTTCGCCGAAATGCGGTGGTCGCTCAGTCGGTATAGTTCACTTGCGGACTAAAATCATGGAGTTTTTTATATGAGGGCACGGGAAATCGAACTGCAAATACGTTGCCTACCTGAGAATGTACCGTCACTGCTGCAGACGAGGAATACCGCGCCACCGCCTCTCGGGCCTCTTGATGTCCTGCAACAACAGGCACTGGACTGTACTGCACTGCGCTTCTCGGCATGCATACATAGGCTCAGGGTGAAACGGAGAGGGCTGACATAGAGGTAACGCCCCAGAATTATATTCGGGAGCCACTCTTTTCGAATCTTGTCCGGGACACAGACTATACTGACTGGGATATTTTGTGGTTTACTTCAGTCCCTCCAAGGAAATTCCTTTCCAATTCCTGATTCACATTCATAACTGGCAGCTTTGTAAAGCAACCCGGACAGTTGTAATACGAGAGCAAGAAAGGCGTAGACAGATTTAAACATCGAAGTGTTTGGTCGGGCTTGTAGCACTCGTCTGTAAGTTCGAAGCACAGCGGTTATGGAAACACTCTGTATGTGTGTGTCCCCATATTCGATCTTAAACTAATGGATGGATTTTAATAAATTATGGTATGAACAACATGACATGAATACGCTTCGGAAGTCACTTTATGGCCAACGGCAAGTCAGTCTGTTCATCCTGGCATAGATCATTTTGCGACGTTGCAATTTAGTCGTTGTGGGAGAGAAGAACGGGCGAAGATATCTGCCATATTAATATACAGAGTGCGTCAATTAATCGGGCGATTTGGCAGCGGTGTTTCTTCCAGGATTGTTTGGAGTGGGGAGGATGCCACTACTGCCACCCAGCAGCCTACTTCAAAACGTTTTATTTGCAATGGAGCCGTGGACTGGAGCACAAGGTGCCTTTTCTGTGAAAGCAGTTTACAAAAACGGCGACAGTTTCGTGATCGCTCAGCGTGAATTTCGAAGGGAGTTTGGTATTCATCGCAACCGTGCTGTTCCATCTGCCCATGCCATCAAGACCTGGGTTCAAAACTTTGAGGCTACTGGTTCTACACTAAGGAAGAAAAGTGATAGCGTAAAAACAGCACGTAAAGCTCTAGTACTTGGAGCTTAAGCCGGGTTTACACGGGTCAAGTCGTGGGTCAAGTATCTTGCCTCCGCAGTTGCGTGGTTTTGTTCTACTTGACTTGACTTAACTACACGTGTTTTCACGTAGTTCAGTAGTTGTTCAAGTGGTTTTGAAACATGACTGCAAATCGTGTTGTGCTGCGAAATTGTTTGATAAATTTAACGAATCTTCTGGTGGAAGAATTGGAACAAGTTTTGGAGGAACAGAGAAATCCTGTGAAGAGGATATGGTGTCATGTTTTTATTGCGGTACTTGGCACTACTCTTCTTCCACAAGCACTCTTTTTCACGGTAGAGCTCAACAAACCGAATGGTTTCTTCTTCTGACCACTTCATCATTCACAAACTACACAAATCCAGGGAGGAAATACACAAAGTGTATACAATCAAATGCCTGATATGAGAAAGCTGGTAATATTAGCCCTGCCGGCCTGCTCACTTGCTTCATCTCTTGTTTACACTGGTAAAGTCAGCGGTCAAGTAGGCGATCAAGTGGTAAAATTCGTGGTGGGGGTAGCAGTCAAGTCAAGTTACTTGTCCACCGTGCAGAACTACTTGACTTGTCTCGCTACTTGACGCAAGTCGGTACTTGACTTGGCCGGAACTGTTTACCCTATGCAAGTAAAATATTCTAATTAACTTTACCGCTCTACATGACCGTTTACTTGACCCGTGTAAACCCGGCTTTACAGTCCAGGAAAACCTGTGCCGTGGATGGGCAGGTCCATTCGTGAAAGTTGAGGGGTGTAGTTGAGGAGTGTTGTGATTAGTAATTCGTCTGCATTCAGTGCGAGCGGACGTCCCAAGAGCATTCTTCCTTGTACAGTCAAGTTAAAAAGTTTTGACTCTAGGAGTCTTATTAGAGCGTATTATTCTCTAATTACTGTATTAATATTGTTACCTTACGTCCATCGCCGCGCAACGACTACAATGGAAATTGTTGAGTTCCAACAGCGACAAATCGAATACAAACAGACCGTTGCGAAGGAGCGTTCCCGAGGCAACGGATTGCCGAACACGTGAGTTTGGAATAGGCACTTCCATGGTAACGCCAAGAACAGGGAGCCGTTGCGTAGACAATGCATCCAGTCCACAGAACACCTACATAAGCCGAGAGCTACAGGGACAGAAGACAGACCCATATGGAGGCGTGGTCGAATACCTCCACCGTGACCCTGCGAGTCGTAGGAGGCGACGAAAATGGAAGTCTCAAATCTGAGACAGTAAAAATATGGTCGCGAGTCTCAAGGGACTCGAACCCGAGAAAGACTGCGCTGGCAAGAGCCAGCAGCATATATAAAAGACAGACCCGTCCTCTCGTCAGAGAGGGCGCCCCTCAAGAACAATACCGTAAATGTCTAACAGTAATAAATATCTGGTCATGAGATCCAGATGGGGCTCGACACCAAGACCTACTGACTGACTGACCATCAGTCGCAATGTGACTTTGACAGAAGACAGAAGACAGCAACAAGACAGCAAGAAGTCAGTATTGGGATAGCCGTCGCCGAAGACAGTTGAGATCCAACCACGGCCAAAGATAGTTGAGATGTCGCATTGAAGTATTGGGCCAGAAGTCAAGTGGTGGCTGTGACAGTATTTTATTTTATGGTTTATTTTTATTCGCTGATTTTCTTTTTTGTTTATTTATATTTGTACATTTTTCTATCTCCTTTAACATGCCACCTACACGAAGTAAATAGAGTGGAAAAGTATTGCATTCACAATCACGAGAAATTGCTAGTAATGTATATAAGTATACGAAAGAGGCTGGGCCAGCAATTACAGTGAAGAACATAGAGTGGAAGTAGCCAAGGCAACAGGTGTATCGGAAAGTAGTGTCAGAAGAATAATAAGAGAAACAAAAAATATCGAATCTGGGGCTTCCACTTCCGTTTCGACACCCCATAAAGAAAGACCTAGGAAATCTTCACTAGTCACTTTGAACGACTTCAAGGAGTCTGTTGTGCTAAGAACAATTAATGACTTCTACATGATCGAAAAACGGAGACCTTCCCTGAAAAAAGTTCACGAAAAGTCGAAGAAAACGTTAGATTTTCAGGGCTGCATCTCCACATTAAAGAAAATGATTTTGAAACTGGGGTTCCGCTGGAAGAAAACAAAAAATAATCGGACATTGCCGGTGTTGCCCCTTTAGAATAGACCCGTGTAATATGTAAATAAACTCTTCATGTACATAACAGTGAAAAGTGTATAATAGTGTATAGTGCATAACAGTCTGCCATTCGACACTTAAAACATAACACTGGATATGTGAACATCAACGAGAATAAACCACCATCACTATGCAACACAATGAGGTACGAAGTTATTACCTTTTGAGAACGTCTGTACTGAATTCCCCGCCACACTTGTCGGCAGGCTGGAGCTCTCCCCGCCACTACCAATACTTCTCCTACTCCGTGTCGGAGGACTGTCACGTCTAAGTACTAGAGCTAAACACTCGAGAACCCGAGAATGTTGCGGCAGTGAGAGAAGCCATTGAACGAGTTCCACGTCGGTCTGCGCGTCGCCATGCTACATCACTCTGGCTGTCCGAAGCCACCGTTCGGCGGATTTTGCACAAAGATTTCCACTTCTTACCCCTATACAGTTCAAATTACTCATGCACTATACGAATACGACTACGAAAACAGAGTCGAATTCTGACAGACTTTTCTTGCAATTAATTCATCAAAACCAAGATGGCGTTAACAACTTACTGATGAGCGATGAAGCTCATTTCCATTTTTTCGGGGTTCGTTAACAAGCAAAATTTCCGCGATTGGTCAGCCACAAACCCCAAAGAAATTTATGAGGGACTACTTCACAGTTCCAAAGTCACAGCATGATGCACGATATCTTCGTTTGGAATTACTGGCCCGTACTTCTTTGAAGATGAGTGGGAAAGGGCTTAACTGTGACTGGACCACGTTACGTTCACATGTTGGAGAGCTTCTTAGCTCCTGCACTTGCTCGTCTCCCAGTCAAGGAAGAAACGTTTTTCCAGCAAGATGGAGCCACATCGCACGAGCTTCCATGGCAGTTGTGAACAACCTGTTTCCTAACCATGTTATCTCCAGATATGGGGACATCACCTGATTTTTCCACATGTTATCTTTTTCTCTGCGGGTATCTGAAATTCCAAGTTTTCTAAGCTCCAGCACCCCACACAGTTCAGGAGTTGAAGCACCAAATTCGGGAAGAAGTCGAATGAATTCCCGTAGAGATGCTGCAAAGAGTAATGGGTGACTTTAGGAAGAGACTTACCGTGTGCTTACAGCGGAATGTTGGTCGTTTGTCGGATGTTAATTTTGGGAAATAGACTTCCGTTTTCAAAGAATCAATTGTGAAAAACCAAATGCTTTTATGTTTACACTATATTCATATGCGTTAAGACCAAATAAATGCAGTAGTTTACTGTTCAGAACGTTTTTAAAATCGCCCGATTCATTGACGCAAGCTGTACAAGCAGGAGTACCTGTTCTTCACCCGGGATGTTGCTACTTTCTCTGTCATTGTCACAGTACACAGCAGCTAAAACAATTGGGAAGGAATGACATTGTGTACTACCGTACATACTGACAAGAACACCTAGTAAATTTCTTAACTTCTTGAGATATTTCCTGTTATGTAAACGCGCAGGACAAACCGCGTGATATACTTTTGCTATCTGGAAATGCGTCACTCCTCCACAACGTGCCTTACTTTGCAAGGACCACAAACCTGTGCTGGGCGCGTAGCCGTTGTACCTGATGGACAGGAGACTTTCTTGCATGGCTTCAATCACTTCCACAGGAGGCTTCAAGTTGCCAAAAACGGTCGGATCACCTGAAACAGTTGCAATCATGGACGTGTAGTGGTCCAGCAATAGCGGCTGCAAAAAAGGGCCCATACACGTACGAGTCTGGTTCGCGAGTCCGGCTCGGCGGGCTTGACTCGGGAGCCGGGCTCGGATTAATTTCACCACACACGCATGAGCTGACTCCCAACTTTGCTCGTACACTTCAGTACCCAGAATGAGTTCATCGAAGCAAGTTGCAGCAGCGGCCATAATACTAGATGTATTCGGTGTGTTCGGGAGAAAAAAGAACAGAAAAAGAAGGGAAATGTGGGCTAAGAACTGGTTGTTAAGTAGAGACAGATTTACACATTTAAATTTATTGAACTTTATTGGAAATGATAGACCTGAAGGCTTCAAAAACTACTTCAGAATGTCACCTATTAACTTACCTCCGTTGTTATCAAAGCTGCTGTTTCTTCTGAATCACCATCACCATCTACATCTTCAGCTTCTTCATCCGAATTGCTTTTGCTTTTCCGAGGATTCTCTTGGTCTGCCGTGAACGAAAGCAGGTCGAAGTACCTCAGCGTTGGCTTGTAGACATCCCCGGACGCACCACTTCTCTTGCTCTCCCCAACACGGCGCAGTTCTTCCCTAAATAATGCCCGGATACTGTCCACTTTCATCTTAGCAAAATTCAAGTCAGCATCACGGACTTTCTCTCTCGCGAACTGCACGAACAAATCCCAGGCCTCATCCCGTTTTCCCCAATTCGAATACTGTGGGCTGCGACCCTGCCACAGAACTGGCAATTCACGGTACTCTTCTAAAAACCGTGACAAAAACTCCGGGTTCATGAATATTTTGTTACACATGGAAGCAGACATGGTTCCTCCGTAGTACCACGTGTAGATACGCGAGTCTGGCGATGGACCGCCCACACACGTACGAATCAATAGAGAGCCGTCTCCGAGCCGAGTCCCACCGAAGGCACTGGTGGGCCACGCTGGACTCGGCCCAGCCCAGCTCGTGGCCATCCACACAAGGAAGAGCTAGGCTCATCGGAACCCGGGACAAGTCGGACTCGCGAGCCAGACTCGTGCGAGTGTGGGCCCCTTAAATCATTGAGACAGGGTTCAAATCAATGAAGTAAGAAGAAAAGGGACCCACAATCCTGGATACACAGACGAAGATCCAATCGGTTCCCTGTATAAGGTGCCTGTAGAACCGGTACCCTCCGTCTGAACGGCGGGTTGTTGTGTAGCGGATACAGATGTTGTGCAGCACAGCTCTGAGGCGCGGATACAGATGTTGTGTAGCGCATCTTTGAGGCGCGGATACAGATGATGTGTGGTGCATCTCTGAGGCGCGGAAACAGATGTGTAGCGCAGCTCTGAGGCGCGGATACAGATGTTGTGTAGCGCATCTCTGAGGAGCGGATACAGATGTTGTGCAGCACAACTCTGATTCGTGGATACAGATGGTAACCAGCACAGCTCTTAGGCGCGGATACAGATGTTTTGCAACACAGCTCTGAGGCGCGGATACAGATGTTGTGTAGCGCATCTCTGATTCGCGGATACAGATGGTATCCAGCACAGCTCTTAGGCGCGGATACAGATGTTTTGCAGCACAGCTCTGAGGCGAGGATACAGATGTTGTGTAGTGCATCTCTGAGTCGCATATACAGATGCTGTGCAGCTCAGTTCTGAGGCGCGAATACGGATGTTATGCAACACAGCCCTGAGGCGCGGATACAGATGTTGTGCAACACAGCTCTGAGCCGCGGATACAGATGTTGTGCAACACAGCTCTGAGGCGCGGATACAGGTGTTGTGCAACACAGCTTTGAGGCGCGGATACAGATGTGCAACACAGCTCTGAGGCGCGGACACAGATGTTCTGCAGCGCATCTCTGAGCCGCGGATACAGATGTTGTGTAGCACAGCTCTGAGCCGCGAATACAAATATTGTGCAGCACAGCTCTGAGCTGCTTATACAGACGTTGTGTAGCACAGCTCTGAGCCATGGACACAGATGTTGTGCAGCACAGCTGTGAGCTGCGAATAGAGATGTTGTGTAGCACAGCTTTGAGCCACGGATACAGATGTTATGCAACACAGCTCTGAGCTGCTTATACAGACGTTGTGTAGCACAGCTCCGAGTTGCGGATACAGATGTTGTGTAGCACAGCTCTGAGCTGCAGATACAGACGTTGTGTAGCACAGCTCTGAGCTACGGATACAGACGTTGTGAAGCATAGCTCTGAGTTGCGGATACAGATGTTGTGTAGCACAGCTCTGAGCTGCAGATACAGACGTTGTGTAGCACAGCTCTGAGCTACGGATACAGACGTTGTGAAGCATAGCTCTGAGTTGCGGATACAGATGTTGTGTAGCACAGCTCTGAGCTGCGGATACAGACGTTGTGTAGCATAGCTCTGAGTTGCGGATACAGATGTTGTGTAGCACATCTGTGAGCTTCAGTATGAGCTCCTCTTCACAACGCTATAATCCGGGAATAACGCACTAGTAAGTCAAAAGTAAAACTGTCCCTGTGCGTATTTGGCACTGCACCTTGATGACGTATGAAAGCCTACAGGTGGTTACCATTTTAATTGCACAATATTCCGTCTGTGATGCAACGAAGCCAGTGTTTTCTTAAAGACACTAAAATATATTTAATTCACTGAAAAGTGTTTGTTAAATATTCTAACATATCATTAACTCTTGTACATTTGATATAATTGTTACATGTTTCGGCCATACATGGACGATCATCAGGCAACACTTATTTTTGGAGACCACTGAAGTGCACGCTTTGTTCTTATTGCTCTTTGGCACGTGGTTGTTGTTAATTTGCTTCGTAGGATATTTTCGACCTATCTTTTTTAGTGACCGTTTCAGTGTTGCTTGTTAATGTGTCTTTCACTTTAGTTGTGTTCGTTTTTTGTTGTTTTACCCATCTAAAGGTTTGGGCAAAGAACCATGTCGGTACTGTAGTGCTCCGTACATATGGGTCGTGCAGGCGGACCTGCCTAGGATCAAATTCCAAGGTCGGACATCAAGGCACTAGCCTCTTCTTCCCGAGGCATCACGCGATACTCACGACACTCTCTTGTAAGACCCTAAACTTGGGGACTATAAGTGACGAGGAATTGTAGCAGAAGAAGACTTGTCCCTGCGTTTAAACAATCACGATGCCATGAAGTCGTATGGTGGAGTGGAGATATATTTCCACGCATTCTTAACGTCGACACTACATGGAGGTGAGATGTCAGCTTCATGCCTCGGCCTCCCTAACCCCGAGGAAAGAGACCCCAGTTCCCATTGGAGAGGAGGCCGGATGTGCTTCAGTGACCGGATGTTGTGCAGACGAGAGAGACAGTCACGCAGCACCTAGCCTAGTCACTATGCTGACTGAGTTGTCTAAGCAAACATACAGAAGGGCCGAGAGACATTTTCTGTTACGGACAATTACCGAATCTTCTTCCTACGACACTGCATTGTTGTCTTTGGGAAGCACTGAGGATAACCGCGGCCACAACAAAGGCGAATCGGCACTGTGCATGAAAGTGGCTCTGCGAGAGGAAGAAGCAGGGCCACGTGTGATCACGGGAACAACAAGCGGGCGGAAAAACCGGTTCTCGAATCGGAGCCTTCATTCCACTAAACAGCAGATCAGTTGGAATTGTGAAGGGCAAGATGACGTAGCAACAACCTGTTGCCATCTACGCAGCGGCATTCATTGTGACACTGTCCGTCCGGCATTCACCAACAATACGTTTCCGTCCTCAGGTGGAAAGCTACGTGGCACGCACATTGGGGGGGGGCTCCGTTTTCCGATCTCCGTTTCGGTAGTAACAAGCCAGGATGCTGGCCATCACGACTGAGCCGTTTCGTGGTTCTCTTCAATTACTCCAGGCAAATCTGGAGTTACCTCGAGAAAGCCACGAACACTTCCTTCCAGATCCTTACCAATTAGTGAGTCGTCTATGATCCTGCAATTCGAGGTGCTGTGGTGCTCAGAGCGCCATGAATAACCCGTGAAAAGAGTGCACGATCTCCTCTTCACTCTTGGCTGTTTAGCATCCATGTTTGTTTGTCATCTTATTACGCTTTGTAAATACACTGTAGTGTGTAGAACCGTTTCTAGGAAACGGCTTGGTAAACACGTTCCCGCAGCAACGGATAGGCATGCAACAATAGAGGTATTGTTGGAAACGGTGTTTTCTACTTACTCGGTTCCGAGGAGTTATAAGGAAGACAACTGAGGCAACCAATTCAGTTCTGTATGAAAGGCTGTGAAGAAAAGAGACAGTTGGAGGAGAGCCGCCGTTCAGAGAGGACTCGAGCAAGGAAGCGGAGGAATAGCCATTGTTAGAAGCCGTTACCTGGCAACCACTATTGAAGACACTGTGGGTTGGAAAAGACAGCGTGTGCTGTCGTGATTTGTAAATTGTGGAAATGATGGATTTCTTAAATCTGCCGTTCAGATTGCCTTAGGTGGCATGGCATACGTACCAAGTTTCATAAAGATTGGTCCTGCCATTCGAAAGTTAATAAGGGACACACACACACGCAGAAAGGCGATCTCATAATATCGTAAGTAGGCTAGAAGAGGAATCAATGAAGCTCAACAAACAGTGTGTGTGGTGAATATCAGCGCAACGGGGTTTGTAAGCTGCCCCTCTTACACCCTCACTGGGGAATCCATTATTCTAATGAAATTTTTCGTAATTTTCCTCAGTCCCGCCAGGGAAATAAGGGGGTAGTACGTCAATGGTACTTTGGCTACGACCACTTCCTTCCTGATTCTTTTGTATACATCCTTCAGTGATCTTCCTAACATTGGATTGTATGTAACAATCTGAGCTGCACCGTTTGGCACTGGAGTTGTTGCGGTCTCTGTTTCGCGTCCTGTGGCATGCAGACCTGTTGCTAAGCAAGTATGCAACGGCAATTACTAGGCAGCGGCCGTAAATAGCAACAGAGGAACGATGTTTTCTGTTCGGTTCGTACCGAGATGTTGTAAAGAGGATAAGTTGAGTCAGTCAGTTGGTTGGTAAGTGAGCGAGTGAGTCGGTCAGAGAACTGCTGCGATTTGGTTGTTGTGACCTGTTGCTGTGAGAAGCCGGTAGCTGAGGCCGGGAACCCAGAGGAAGGGGAAGGTCCGCTGTTGGAAACCGCTACCAAGCAACTGCAGTAAAGACGAGATTGTGGACATTAGTGTGTGTGTGTGTGTTTGTGAGATAGGGGCCTGTAAAGTGTAGTCACGCTCTGTATCAAAGTGTGCGATAAATCCAAAACCTCGTCTATAGTCACTAAAACCACGTGACAATATTTTCCTCGCCTTGTTGTTTCAGACGTCCACTCATCAAGCGGAAATGAGCAGGTCTACTTTTCATTGTCAATTAGCAATTCTTCATTGTCAGATGAAAACTCTGAGCGCTCTGTCGCGTTGCCTGTCAGCTCGCCGTGTCTGCATATAACAACCGAAGTGCCGCTGAATAGATTTTCATGCAATTTGGTATTGGGGAGTTAAAATATGTCGACACATTCCAATTTTGGTTAAAATTGGGTGACAGTAACGGACACTTTACATGGAGACCTACATATCTCGAGCGTAACTCGCTAAATATTTATCGGAGCGAAAAGTGTTTCGGTCAAAATTTTCATAAAAGAAACTGATCATGTTTTATGTTCCATAATTTTTTACGTAAGACCGCGATTATCGAGAAAATTAAACTTAGGACTTCTAACGCGCCATATTTGTCACTTCATGTATATAATTTCTATTTTATCCATTTTGAAGATTAATACCTTTTGGGATGTGACACCGTGTAGTCTCGTACAATTTCACGAGCGTTTCGTAGGAACGTACATCCTCCTCTTCGGATTTGAAGAGATATTAAACTTAAGCAACGAGAAAGAAGCAAGGAGTGAGCTTAATCCTTGCTTACTTCGCATTAGTCTGTCCTGACGATATAAGTAGTACGTTTGTATGAAACGCTGATTAACGTCTATCAGACTACATGGCGCCACTTGCCTGAACATAATACTCTTTGTAGTCACCGTCATGAGGACCTCAATTCGAAATATATTTTCTTCGTCACTGCAAGTCTAAATAGCGAATTATCGGGTTTACATTGGAGCATGGACGATAATGACAACGAAGTAAAATTATGTTGTTCCACAAGAAGTTTTTAAGCCATTTCAGGTGAGTTTACAGCTCCAGATAGAGTAAACAACGCGCAGATTATTACGTAAGTCGAACCACTGGAACAAGTAGAACCAGTTTTCGAAACGCAGATCTCGTTAGGCCTCAATGTCATGTACATTCTCGCTCAGACTGATCTCAAGTGGAAGTGCGTGCCACACAGGGCTGCAGACGCGAGTAGGCGCCTCCGTTCCTACGGGTTTTCAGGGCGCTTTTTAACTAAGCTGTTTCCAGTGCCTGGTTTTCAACATCGATACATGTAGGGACACATTCACGAGCCTGCAGTGCACTACTTACCTCTATGACATGCGTGGCTGGCTCTTCTGCTGATCTGGGGCCTGTAAAAACCATCTCCACCCCTGGATTCAGAGTTTGCGACTGTCTGCCTTCCATCGGTCTCTGAAGTACATAGTTTGACCCTCAGGAGCCCCGAAGACGGCGACCAGGACCGCGAATGTTGCTTTTAGGAATATTGTCTTGGAAGCCTGAACTCCGGCGGTCAGTCGGTCGGTCGATTAAATTGCTGCTGGTCATCGCCAGCAGTCGTTTTTGGTTTCGGGCCCCGTCGGGACCTATGATCATATTTTCGTTCTTTCCAGGACTTTTTCTTGTTTTCAAATAGGGCATCCTCTTCGACGAGAGAGGAGGGGTCTGACTACTACTGGTCACTCCCCCTCTTCTGGCTGTGACTCGAGCGGGTACTCACTAGAAATCTAAATGATACACAAATTCGAATTCCTACCTCACACAAAATTTTGCGCCTTCGCTTCAAAGCCCAACCGGTTAATGCTGTTTAGGGAAACAGTCGCTGTGTATTGTGAGAACCATAAGGAACACATAAGTACATGGTGTGGGCAGAATGCAGAGATTTTGTATGTAAAACAGATTGCACACATAATTACCACAATAATATAAAAATTATTAGTGACATGGGTTCGAGTTCAGTCCCTTTGCGCTCTGAACGGCTCCGCTTATGATCAAAGGACAGAGAAATTACGGCACCAACTAATACATACATTCATACATAAACACATATGTTTCAGTTAGGAAACAAGAAATGTCATCCAGAAACTCACCGATAGAGAGTGCAATCATCGATTTCTCTGGATTTGGCTCCAGCCGAAGGTTCTCGACAACATTACGAAGTGGGTTGTGAGTTTTCTGCGCAATATCCGATGGGACCACCTCCCACTGCCTTCGAACTCCTGACGGAGACATTGTGACGCCAATAAGACGGTCTTGCCTCTGTTCTGTCCCGCGATGATACTGGTGAACTGATTGTTGGGCGTCTGCAGCCGTTAATTAAGTGACTCTGATCATTTGCGTTTTCAAGAACTTTGCTATATACTTTCCTGGTACATAGAAATGAAATCTGATTGGCCGAACAGATGGGCAAACAAACCGGTTGTTGTCTCCCATTTGTCGATTGATATACACACCTTCTGTTTCTTTTGAAAATAGTGGACAACAACTATGTCATCAGCCTTGCAGCAACATAATTACGCTGTAAGCTCTTGTATATAGTTATAACGATAAAATAAATCAGGAATCATACTTGAGTGGGTTACTTCAGTTCCTTGCTAGAAACAAATACTCTTTGAATGGAATGTGGAGCCTAGAGGCCAGCTGAAATAAACACATGCCTGTTTAGGACGTGGTACACGTGTTTCTGCTTGAGCCACTGCATCAAGACCGTAGTTCGCTAAATGTTTATCAGGGCATAGAAATACACTGAAGAACGGCCAAAGAGAAAATGGAACATATTTTAAGCCCATTACAGCGTTCTAAACCCCCTCCTATATTCATCGCAGGTGTTAAAAACATCAAACCTCTAATCGAATTCCTTGATGAGATAGCTAATCAAAAATATAACATCAAAACTCTGAGCTCTGATCAAGTCAAAGTACAGCCCTTGGAAATTACAGTTTACAGTACGATCCTAAAATCCCTAATTGACAAAAAACTGAATTTTACTCATATAAACCAAAACAAGATAGAAGCTTTAGAGTAGTGTTAAAAAATGTCCATCCGACAACAGACTTAAATGAGATTAAATCTAGTATTGAATCAAAAGGCCATGAAGTTACCAATATCTGGAACGTAAAACAAAGGAAGACTAAAAATCCCTTACCAATATTCTATGTGGACCTAAAGCCAAAGGCTAATAATAAGGACATATATAACATGAAGTTACTCCTGAATACTTGTGTCCAGTTTGAAGCACCACATGCTAAACGAGAGATACCTCAGTGCACGAGATGCCAAAGATATGGCCACACGAAGAATTACTGCTATAACAACCCTCGATGCGTTAAATGCGCAGAAAATCATTTGACCAGTGATTGTCCCAGGAAAACAAGAGACGAAGAGGTTCGCTGCGTAAACTGTAACGAGCATCACCCTGCAAACTACAGGGGATGCATGATACACAAACAGCTGCAGCAAAAGATATACCCAGCGATGCGAGAACGAATAAAATCACCAACAAAACTACACTACAGGGAGCAACATTTGCCCAAGTTCTTAAACAACAAATACAACCCACGCAAACGATCCCTGAAGTCAATCAATACAATGCCTCAGTAATGACACAACCAGCCACTGAATTGGCAGAACTAACCCAAATGATGAAAAAGCTAATGGAACAGTTGGGCACAATGTTAAACCTTCTCACACTGCTCATAACTAAAATTGCTTAATGGCGGTACAAATTCTCCAGATCGGAGTGTGGAATGCCAATGGGCTCTCACAACACGCACAGGAACTCAGAATATTGTTACAAAACAACTGCATTGACATCATGCTGATTTCTGAAGCACACTTCACTGACAGGACTCATCTCAAATTACCAAACTACAATATATATCATACACAACACACAGATGGCACTGCACACGCAGGCACTGCAGTAATTATCAGAAGAAACATTCAGCACTACGAAAGAATGGAGTACAAACAAGAAAATATTCAAGCTACCAGTGTAACCGTTCAAAACTATGCCGGTGATCTAACCTTCTCTGCAATCTATTGCCCACCAAAACATAATAACAACCGTAAGGACTATGAAAAATTCTTCAGAACACTGGGCAATAGGTTTATAGTAGCTGGTGATTTTAACGCCAAGCATACAGCGTGGGGATCACGAATCACTAATACTAAAGGGAGAGAGCTGCTGACCGCTCTGGGAAACAATAACCTAAGTTATTTATCCACGGGGCAACCGACATACTGGCCCACTGACACCAAGAAAATACCAGATCTGCTCGATTTCTGTGTAATCAAAGGAATTCAGATGAAACGATTCTCGATAGAATCATCCTTAGACCTTTCCTCAGATCACACCCCACTTCTAGTAACCCTCTATTCACACATAATTGAAAAAGAAAAAGGGCCGTCACTGTATAACAAGCGTACAAACTGGAATTATTTCAGAGAAAAATTGGACGAAATAATTGCTATAGATATTCCACTAAAAACTGCAATGGATATTGAAACAGCAGTTGAAAACCTAACTAAAGCCATTCAAACAGCAGCATGGCAGGCTACACCCGTCCAACAGCACACCCATTGCAAGGAGGAATGTCCAGTTATTGTAAAACAAAAGATAGCTGAAAAAAGAAAAGCAAGAAAAAGGTGGCAGTTAACACGAGCACAGCCTGACAAACAAAAGCTTAATAAACTTACAAAAGACCTTAAAAGCTTGCTACAGAAACTAAAAGATGATTCCGTACAGACGTATCTGGCTGGTTTAACTGCCACCACGGCAACAGATTATTCGCTATGGAAGGCAACGAAGCGACTTAAAAGACCGCAACAATCAATACCGCCAGTCAAAACCTCTGACGATAAGTGGGCAAGAAGCAATGAACAAAAGGCCATGGCATTTGCCAAGCATTTGCAAAATGTATTTCTCCCCAACGACATCGAAAGTACCCTAGAAGACCAGCAGGCGATCAATAGGGTCCTTGCAGCACCGCATCAGATGGCCCCACCCATAAAAAAATTCAAAATTAAAGAAGTCAGACAAGTCATACAAAAAGAAATCAACGCAAATAAAGCGCCTGGGTATGACATAACTACAGGGAAGGTCCTACAGGAAGTCTCTGAGAAGTGTTTTCACGTAATCACGATGATCTTCAATTCAGTGTTGAGAGTGGAGCACTTCCCCATTCAATGGAAAATAGCGCAAATCATCATGGTTCCTAAACCGGCGAAAAATCCCAGAGAGATTGCATCGTATAGACCTATAAGTCTTCTACCAGTCCTTTCAAAAGTCTTAGAAAAACTCTTGCTGAAACGCCTCACACCAATCTTAGAAGAACAGAAATTAATACCAAGCCATCAGTTTGGTTTCAGAAGCAAGCACGGTACTATTGAACAGGTACATAGAGTAGTGAAAGAAGCCTCCAACGCCCTAGAAGAAAAGAAGTTCTGTACAGCAGCCTTTCTCGATATTAGCCAAGCATTTGACAAGGTGTGGCACCAGGGACTCTGTTACAAACTAAAGTCAAATCTGCCCCATAATATGTTCTCCATCTTAAAATCTTACCTTACGCAAAGATACTTCTTCGTCAAACATGAAGATTTCTACACTGAAATCTACCCTATACTGCTGGGGTACCTCAAGGCAGCGTGCTAGGCCCGTTACTACACCTCCTTTACACTGCAGACCTACCTACTACCGAAATGACCATGACTGCAACATATGCTGATGACACCGCTGTTTTAGCAACCCATATGGATCCTGCTACGGCATCTAGATGTCTTCAAGAAAACCTACATGACATGCAAAAATGGCTAAGAAAGTGGAAGATCAAAGTCAATGAGAGCAAATCGGTCCAGGTAACATTTACTATGAAAAAAGGACAATGCCCGCCAGTTACACTAAATGACTCACAACTACCGCAAGCAGATGAAGCCAAGTATCTTGGCATACATTTAGATCGCCGGCTAACATGGCGGAAACATATCTTCAGCAAAAGAAAAAAATTGGGTCTGAAAATTCGGCAATTGTACGGGATAATCGGACGAAGATCACAACTATCTCTTAATAGCAAACTCTTACTCTACAAGGCAATACTCAAACCTATATGGACGTATGGAATATCACTGTGGGGAACAGCCAGCAATTCAAACTTGGAAATACTACAACGATTTCAGAACAAGGTTCTCAGAGAAAGAGTTGATGCGCCCTGGTATTTGCCCAATACAGTGTTACATAAGGACCTAAGTGTATCTACAGTGCGTGAAGAAATTGAAAAGTGTAGTGCTAAGTACAGTCGGAGACTACAAGTACATCCAAACGAACTCGCAGCCTCTCTACTAACCTATTAAGATGAAGTTAGGAGATTAAAAAGATTCAAACCGTCAGACCTATCTGATAGATTTAGCTAGTTTTAAGTGTATACATGCCACAAATCTTAAGGCATCTACTGGGATAGCCTTATTAACACTGTTAATGACATAGTTCCACATCAGTCAACAAAAGTGCTCATTGTCCTTAATTGGACAGATTGTATGAATCTATCTCAAAAAAAAAAATTACAGCGTTTCCATAATGTTACTGTTTCCGAGAGAGCTGAAGAGCGAAGGAGCAAGCGCACCAGAACTGCTAGCTGTGCGTACATTTCCGAACTTTTGCCACATCCAATGCCTTCTTGGAAGCAACACCGTCTAACGAGATACAAGTTCACCGATGTTTCGGAGGAACATACAGCCTCAATTTTCAGGTTCGAAGTGTAAATTAAGTAGTTGTCAAGGACCAGGATACAACGTGACGACCAAGAAGGAAATGATCGCTGTAAGAATTTCAAATCAAACAATTAGTACCGCGTTTCAGCTTCGCAGTTAAGCCGCCGCAATCAGTTCTGCATCTAGGCGTTGTCGAACTCTGACAGGTCCTCATCTAGTCAAGAGCCCGTGTATCCTGAGCCAGATTAATCCTTCGTCCTCATGAGGCCGACAATTGCAATTCAAAGCCTCCCGACATTACAGCGCGGCGCACGGAATGTTCGGTGAACTAAAGAAATGTAGTGAAATCAAGGTAGCAACATGGTCATAACTAGGGACCGGATTTTTATGCCCTAATAATCCCTTAAATATGTATGCATTTATGCATGAAAAACTTCCAATTGATTTTACACTATTTTAAGACCAACAGAACAATATTTAAGTTCATTTTATGTAATCACTGAATGATTCACTTAAGCTATACTTAAATATAAATCACGCAAAAAAGCCAACATATTTCATTACAAATGTACAAATTACCATTGGTACTCACATTTAGCTCTCCGAACTTCCAACTTCTCTTCTGTTGCATTTCACAGTTACTAGATTTTTTAGATTTTCCATAGTTAGTGGCCTCCTGTTGTCTCGTAAGATGTCCTTATAGCGGGAAAACTTCTTTCCACCTCACAGGAACTTAGGGGCGCATGTACAAAAGCCATTATTTGCTCCACGGTTAGTGATATTTTACTTGGCAGTTCAGTACGTTCACCGGCTAAAATTTCTTCAATTTCACAAATTTGTTAATATCCTGGATTTTTTAAAAGAATGCTGTGTAATTTTTCCTTTATTACTTCACCAACTCTTCCAGAAAACAAATTCAATTTGGAAACAGTGGTTTTGAACACACTTAACGACTGATACAAAGTAGTATTGCTATTGCTTGCCTCCAGTGAGGAAATGGCGGATGGAAGATGAGGGAAGTGAGCAGATATATAGGAAAGATTAGTTTCTAGTTATGTGTTTTTTTAGTACATCTTGGGCAATTTGAATTGATGCTGCACTTTTGGGATCAAATGTATTCACGACATTCCTGTTTCTAAATGTTCGGTATAATAACTCGCTGCACACAGCCACTTGCCCCAGCGCGTTAAAATTGGTTCTGGCGGAAGTGGAACGCTCGGTGCTACTGCTTTAAAGGCTTCTTTTCTATATGGTTCTTTAACAAATACCTTCTTCACAGAAGACACCAACTTGTCAACAAGCGGAAAATTTGCACGAAATGTTTCTGCAACACGGTGCAACCCATGGGCAAGGCAAGTCAAGTCAAATGTGTCATATTTGGAAATATAACTTTAAGAGCAGTACCTGCTTTCATCATATAACTTACGGCATCAGTCAGAAAGAGCAATACGCGCTCATACTGAATGCCATTCGGCCATAGTTAATTCATGGAATTGATAAAACAATTCGGAAACTGAGGAGCTATTTGTAGTTTCAAATTGCTCTACCGCAAGAAGATATGGGGTAGATTGTTCATTCACATTAAGGGATCCAACTATACAATTTACAATAAACCGTCCCTCACAATCTTGTGTTTCGTCGATTGATACCCACACAATATTATCTTGAATCTTATCTCTAATGCTTTCAATTGTAAGATCGTAACACTGCTTCACGTAATTTTTTCGCAAGTAGATTCCTCCGGCACTTTGCACTGTGTATACTTCTCTATGAAGTTTCTCAGATTAGGATTGGTTAGTTTCCACAGTGGAATAGTATCTGCCGCTAAAAAGGCTTCGCACAAATCAAATGAAAATTGTGAAAAATTATTATTAGAAAATTCATTAAATAATTTTTGATCAGGAGCACTTTTCGTGGTTTTAATTTTAATACTCTCTGTATGTATATTAGTGTTCAAATGCTGAAGCACTTGAAAGCGTTTTTCAGAACCAACTGTTTCCTCACACGCTCGGCTATAAAGAATTTCGTTATCCGTACTTATCATCTCTCCTTCGAACTCCCGCTGATACAGATGTAGTTTAGTTTTCTGACTTACTTTCACTTTCGGCATGACTACAGAACGCTAAACAAACGTAACTACGCACTAGTCACCTCTAATGTGAATGGCCCCAGCTTCAAATGAAGAAGCGTAACGAACCTCATGGAGACTTCAGAAATAAATAAGTGAAATCCCTTATCGGTTGAATAGTATTACGTTGATAGCGGCTACATGTTAATGCTTCTGACTAATCACTTCGCGGCCACTTTGATGGTACGCGGATGAGGCAAGCTACGAGTAGAGAGATCGGGGAAGTCCCGCCCTGGCTATTGCATCAGAAACATGAATCATGACGAAATGTGGCGTCAAATATGCAACATATTCTAATACGCAAATGAAAAATTGTATACACACGACCATGATTGAAAATTTGAACATAAAATTAAAAAAAAATATATGATAAATATTTTAAAAAGGAAATATGCAGTATAAATAGATATCTTCGAAATTATGATGCTTATTCATAAAACAGGCAAAATATGCATTTATATGCACCATCAAACCATATCCAAAATTTAAGAAATGAAGTAATTCATACATATATCCAAACAAGCATACTTTCTGGTTGCAAAAGAGAAATATGCATTTGCATTAAAATCCGGTCCATAGTCATAACTTGCGTATACATGAAAGCAAGGTGGGGCTACGTCGTTTCGCGCCTGGCTGCGTGGAAACCAGGCCTTGCCGCAAAGTAGCCACGCACATCTCAGAATTACATACAGTGAGCAGCTACATATCGTCTACTGTTCACCAGACAGCATTGGGTGGGTAGGCAGTACATATATCATCTATGAGAAATGTGACAAATTTCTATAATCCACAGAATTTCTTTCGCAAAGCCTGTAATATATCATTAGAGAGACTTCGGCATAGATAGATCACATTAAAATGGATCTCAAAAGGAATAATGTACGAGGGCATGGATTAGGTCCATTGTCACAGGATAGGGTCAGTGGAGGCCAGTCATGAGCAGAGCAATGAACATTCCATGATTCCGTACGTCGCGCATCCATTTTGCCAACCGCACCGTACCAGGCTATTGCCAATAAATATAAACAAAATATCTAAGACTATATTATTGCAATATGTTTTCTATTCAGAAAAGAACAAACAAAATTTAAAATTGTCTCGCTTATCATCATCAATTATCAATCGAATCACCACCTCCCTGTTGATTCAGTATGGGGCATTATTGAAAGTAACAATTTTCAAATCAGGCGAACATGGGATTCGAGTTGTTTTGTCGATACTTGGAAGGAATCTGGCCCAATTTAAGGGGCGAATATGGAAGCCGTTCGGCCAGACACTTTTCCTAGGTCGAATGAATTTATTTTAGGCGATTAAAAATTAATCAATTAAATTGGAAAATAATGTTAATCAATATATGCTCCACTGATTGTGAGAAGTATTTTTTAAATGAAAGAGTTATAAACTTGACATGTTATATTGCGCAGTTAGAACTAAGTTTCGCTTTGTCAGCGTAATTACGTTACTTCGTTATAAAGGCGCAACAGCAAACACGTGCCTCATATTCTCGTAAAAAAAAAGGAACGTCAAATAAAAAGTATGTACATTTCGAGCAAATAGTAATTTGTACTTCAAGAAAGTCTATGATTCGGTTAGGAGGGAAGTATTATACAATATTCTCACAAATTTTTGGTGTGTCCATGGAACTAGTTAGGCTGATTAAAACGTTTCTAAATGAAACATATAGTAAAGTCCGTATAGGCAAACATTGGTCTGATACGTAAGATTTGAGGCTTTCACGGCGGTGACTATGAAGAAAGCTATGAAGTGTTAACACCACTTATACACGGTGCCAAATCCCAGAAGACTGCTTTCTTCATTGGTCTGATACGTCTCCTATCTAAAATGGTCTAAAAAAAGGAGATACTCTAACGCCACTGCTTTCCAACTTTTTTTTTTTTTTTAGAATATGCCATCAGGAAGGTCCAGGAAAAGCAGACAAAGGTAAAGTTGTCCCTGTGCTCAAGTAATTAAGCACTACTCCATGAAGGCGAATGGGGGAGTGGATGTATATATCCACATTCTCTTGACCTCGGCACTAGAGGAAAACCAGGTTGCCGCACAAGTGGAGATGAAATTAAATGGGACACATCAGCTGCTGGTCTGTCAAGAAAATACATACTTCCGTGCCTTTCGTGTACTTTGTTAAAGTAGTTGTCCCCCATGATGTTATATGTCGCTAGGTGTAATGTTTATTAATCCGTGTATCCCTCAGTTAACTTTGAGATGCGTATCTATAGGCATTAATCCGTGAGGCCTATGACGTCATAGGACTTCAACTTGGAAACGAAACGAAGTTGGCTGTCTAACCTATGAGGATTGTTTAGGAGGCTTGTGAGTTGTGAATGTGTAATTGAAGTAAACTTTATTTGCTTATTTTATAAAATGACAACAGCAAGAATAAATCATAGAAAATATAAATGGGCGTTGGATACTGGACTGAGGTAAAGATTAGTGGAAATAATGAATGGGCTTTGGTACCTGCGTAGGATTAGCGAAATTTATTTGATTAGATTTCAAAACTAATTTCTGTCTGTGGTTTAGACAAGATTTCTGTTTCGATTTTTATGGAGATTGCCATGCGCATAAAACAATTTGTTGCAGAAAAATGCCAGCAACTCTAAATAAGGGCCAAGCTTGTTTTAGCGTGAATTCGGGTGGCAACTTTGAATTCTTCTGAAGTGTATTGTGCTTATTGTCAGTTCGAACTTTGTTGTGTGAAACATATTGATATTTTGGATTATCGTTGATGATTTTAGGAAGAGCTGACTTCATCAAATGGCTAGTGTGAGAGAATATTTATTTTCTGTCATGTGGGCTGTGTGTGAAGAGTCGGATATTTTGGTTATTCATATCTTCCCAGTCAATATATTAATCTCTTGTTCTTGTATCATAAACAATTTAATTCTGTATGTGTACTGCCTCCATCCTCAGATTTGAAAACTAAGTAAACCAAGCGCATGCATAGTGCTACTTGGTGTTTACTGGCTTGACTTTCTTGTTCACCACTGAAGATGGAGGCAGTATGTATACCATTTTAACCAGACCACACTCTTGTGTCATGCGAGTTGGGAGGCTTTGCTAGCAGTGATATTATTCACCATTAAAGCAGCTCTCTTTAAGTGAATTTAGTGACTGCTGTGTGTAACAAGAGGAAACTGGTTTAAGAGCAGAATGAATAAAGAGCCTTCAGATTCTCTTTACCAGCTCTTACACCACCAGAGCACCAGAATGTAGTGTTTCCTCCGACATTAAAGAAACAAGGAATAGAAGTGGTATAATTTGTGACTGTTAAGTTACTCATTTGTAAAGTACAGCACACATTCATGCATGACACATGCTGTGTGCCTGAAGTAATATGAGTCACTTAAAGCAGTGACCTATTTTTTTTTATTGCTAGTGGGGTGGGACTAAGTCCTTTGTACTGTGGCCACTTCTGGCATATTGTACCAGCCCCAGATGATAGGTGAGGGTGATTGTGGAGAAACTGGTGGAATGAAGATTGGCAGGGGAAACCAAAGCACTCGGATAAAACGTGCCCAAGCGCCACTTTTCCACCACAAATCCCACTTGACCAGACCCGGGCGGCCGCGGTGGGAAGCCGGCGACTAACCGCTTGAGCTATGGCGCGGTCAGAAGCAGTGATCTGTCTCCTGTTTGTAATAATGTAGTAACATTGTACAAGCATATATTTCTGCAGACAGAGGGAAACAAGTGAAATTTTTAAGAAATGTTGAGAGAAATACAAGAAGGGGTAGAGGTAGAACCGAATTATTTTTATGGAGAAGTTGGAATTAACAGTTTTGAATACCATTAGAAGAGAAAGAACTGCAATAGAATAGACAAAAACAAGGATACTGCAAAGGGTGTTAGAACTAAAATTTGAAGAAAAGAGAGAGACCCGCGGGCTAAACCAACAAAATATACTGGTTTTTGCCAGGTTTGAGAAAACATTAAGAAGAGGGAAAAGGGCCAGCAAAATCAAAAAGGAAAGTTTGTGGGAAGAATGCTGTGTGGGGTGAAGTATGTTTCATTCACATCAGTGTTTCAACAAGACAAAAAATACAGTGACACAGCAGGGAAGTAAGTAAAGGAGTGGGTTCCTGTTTTCATGTAGTTTCTAAATGGTTCTCTCACCTATATAAATATTGTTATGTGTTTTGTGCGTCATGCAATAAATAAATCCATGTAGGTCTAAAATTCAGTAGAACCTTTATTGTTCTTCACTGACACAATCACACGCTTTACAATCTTTACCACTTGCAGTATTGCAATGACTGCTTACAATATCTCGGCCAGTACATCTGTATCTCTAGGCGTCTATCGCGACACTCTTTCGGCGAATGTATTGCCTTATATATCTGCGGCCGTTGCTATGCATTGGATCTTCTGTTGTAACCGTGGAGACTCCTGTTAGAACTACAATATCACTATTGTTGTTTCCAATGCAACGATCTATTCCAGCGTTTCTATAGAAGTGACTTTTCTGGATTCCAAACACGTTACAAGATATATATATATATATATATGAGGGGGGACCCAAAAATAACCGGAAACGACCTGTTGCGCGTGCATGCTTTGTAGTTTGAGTTGTGCTGCTAGGTGGGTTAGCTGGGGGTCTCCCGCGACTGTTAGTGAGCTGGCGTCAGTCTGAGTTAAGTGGTTTGTCTGTGGTGCTCTGTTGTGTGCGTACCTGTTTCAACCCTTTGGTGATTAGTGAGATGGCCGACCAGAAGGAACAAAGAGTGTGCGTGAAATTTTGCTTTCTGTTAGGGAAAACTGCAGCCGAGACTGTTGGGATGCTTTGGCAAGCCTTTAATGATGATGCTTTGGGGAAATCACAGGTCTACGAGAGGTTTTCCCGTTTCAAATCTGGCAACATGTCAACAGAAGACATGCCATGCCCCGGGCGTCCTTCGACAGAAAGAAATGACGAAAACATTGCCAAAATCAAACGTGCAATTGATGAAGATCGTCGAAAGACCATTGACCAACTTTCTGAGGAAACGAACATCTCATGGAGCACAGTCCAGCGAATTTTAACCGAAGGTTTGCACATGAGACGGGTGTCTGCAAAATTTGTTCCTCGCTTGCTCGGAGATGACCAAAGAGAAAACCGCGTGAATGTTTGCCGCGACTTGAAGAGTGAAGTGCAGTTTTCCCTAACAGAAAGCAAAATTTCACGCACACTCTTTGTTCCTTCTGGTCGGCCATCTCACTAATCGCCAAAGGGTTGAAACAGGAACGCACACAACAGAGCACCACAGACAAACCACTTAACTCAGACTGACGCCAGCTCACTAACAGTCGTGGGAGACCCCCAGCTAACACCACCTAGCAGCACAACTCGTAACTACAAAGCATGCGCGCTCAACAGGTCGTTTCCGGTTATTTTTGGGTCCCCCTTCGTATATATATATATATACACACACACACCTTTCCTTTATAAAATCCAGTCATTGAGGTTAACTCGGTGTAATGGACACAACAGAGTAGGTATCCCCACCCCCTCCTCACTGAGATTGGAAACAGATCCAGTTTCTGAAACAGTGTTCTTTCGTGCTTTTTATAATACTAGACAATGGATGAAGCCCAAAAGCTTAGTAATCTGTGTTCATATTATTTTCAGGAATAAGCAAGATCGAAGTTCAGATTTAGCATCTCCTCCTGGTTACAATCCATCAGCTGGTCAGGTTTACACTGAAGTTGCCAGGGAGTCTGATCCCAGTCATCTCATTATAAAGAAGTCATGGGAACTTGCCCTTGCACCCCTGAAGCAGGTATGGATCTGTGTAGTGTGCTGCATGTGGTTTGTCCTCCAGCTTCAGTGATCATCTGCTGTAGGAGGTTGTCATTTGCAGAATTTGCTAATATTAGTATATTAATAGCCTAATGTCTGTCTGTCTGCACCTTCTGCTGGTTTTCCAAAACAGTGCATTGTATAAAAAGTGATAAATGTAGAAAAAAATTTGCTGGAGAGAGAAACCTGGAAAGGCTATTGATTTTTTCTTTTGAAAATTAGGCCTGGGTGTCCAGCAAAGTTACTCCATTTCTCCCAATTGTTGCATCATGGGTGGCAAATACAAGAAATGTTGTGCATTCTGAAGTATACTTGTAAAGTTTTTCTGTTTCAGTAGAGAGGCACAGGATGCCCAAAGACTAATATGACATGCACACTTTCAAATGTTTCATTTATAGCAGTAGTTTCATTTGTAGTCTTGATTTCAATCTGTAATGCAACAATTTAAATTTTAAGTGACACTAAATCACATTTAATTCAGTAAAATTAAAATGTTCATTAGGCTGTGCCATAGCTCAAGTGGTTAGTCACTGGCTTCCCACCGCGGTGGCCTGGGTTCGATCCCGGCTCTGGTAAAGTGGGATTTGTGATGAACAAAGTGGCGCTGGGGCAGGTTTTCTCCGAGTACTTTGGTTTCCCCTGCCAATCTTCATTCCACCAATTGCTCCACAATCACCCTCACCTACCATCTGGGGCGGGTACAATAGGCCAGAAGCGGCCGCAGTACAAGGGACTTAGTCTGACCCCACTAGCAATAAAGAAAAATGTTCGTTAAATATTTAAAATGTCATTATACTATACGTACATTCAGTGTTTATGCTACATGTTTCAGCTGCATAGGGCCATCTTCAGGCAACACATTTTTTATGGAGTCTACTGCACTGTGTGCTTGGTCAAATAGTATTCATGAAGACATGTCATTATCATTAATTTTGATGATGTAGAATGTTTTTTTCTTTTGTATTGCGGCCATTTCTGCATTGTAGAATACATGTTTATTAATATGATTCTGTCCTTGATGCTACCTTTATGTATCTGAATGCCATATTTTTGTACTTAGATGTCCCACTTGGGTGTGCTGCTCATTTGGTTGTATGCATCTAGTGTTGCTTTTTGTTCCTTGTACTGATTTTGGTGTGGTAATTCTTGCTTAAATATCTCTTAGGTAGTGAGTGTACTGTTGCCTGAATATGGCACTGTGCACCTGAAACCTGTAGCATAATCACTGAATGTACATAAATATTAATGATACTTTAAACATTTAATAAACATTTTAGTGGATTAAATGTGATTTAGTGTTGTTTAAAATTTAAACTGTTGCATTATAGATGGGAAACAACATTACAAATGATACCTCAATGCAACAGGATGCTGAAATATTATAGCAGTGGTTTCCAAACTTTTTCAGACCTGCTCCCCTTATAAAAAAGCATTCTTCAGAACAGTGGTTTTGCACAGACCCAGTAAGGAAGATAACAACAATAAAATAGGATACCCCATTTAATGACCACTTCACTGTTAGTAAATTCTTAAAGCTATGGATGGGCTTGATGAAGCGATACCAGTTTCCCAGTGTCTGGTCTAAAGTCACTTCAATCGTAAGTAAGTGAATGTTCTCGGAGAAGCCCACCTCCATTGCCCTCCGGGTAATCCAACTGCCCCCCCCACCAAGGGGACTGTACAGCCAGCCCACTTTGGGAACGACTGATTTACACAAACAAGAAGAGTTCCTTCCATTCTACATGGATTGAACATGTGCAGTTCCCAAAGATGCAGTGAAAGTAGATCATGGCATGACTGTTACACCTCAGGGGGAGGGGTGAGAAACTATAATTACTTTCGTCGGTTATTACTCTTTTTCTAACATCTGCGTTGCACTCGGCTGCCGTCGGCTGTCTTGGCTAGGGAAGCTCGGGCTCGGTTGAGGACAGGGTGGTTACTAATGGGTGAATCAGAACTCCCTGCGTACATTTTCCACTATGTACACCGTCTATTTGCAATAATAAATACATTAAGAAAAAGGCCTGCTCTTATCTGTTTACATGACACTTCTCGCTAAACTCATTCTACCGTCCTAGTTTGTGGAGGGGAGGTGCCTTGAAACTGCACTCCTATCATCGTCTGCCACTCTCCGTTCATTTCTACCCTGTTCTACCCTGGCTCTCACTTGGTACACTGGATACTGCCTCATTATCTCACATTAACACTTGTATTAACAACAACCTTTAACAGCATGGCGTATATGAGCAAAGAGACTTACTTGCAATACACATGTAGATTACTGCCGTCATCCACCCTCTTATGGTATACATGCCGCCGAGAGCCTCCGGCTGACAACTGAATATTGTGTGATAGAACATGATTCAAATCCACCGAAGTTCCCTAATTTATCGTTTTCTTTCGCTGATTCAGCGTTGATGACAGAGGGTAGGTGAGTCCCCCTCAGTGTCCTCAATCCTCATAATAACCTCCTCATTGGCTCACATGGGTGGTTGTGGGCGGACCCCTTGCGTCTTATTGCTGCGTAAGCAGGCTCTTACGATTAAATCCAGTGAACGAGTGAGGTAAGCTATTGCTCTGCGATTACAGAGACCTGCTGTGCAGTCACATTCTTAACCTAATTGCCAGTCCTGGTGTTTACAATTTACGGCAATAGCTGCGAAACTCTTTTCGCAAGTCTCTAGCTTTTGGGTAATACCATACCCTCTTCAATCTCAAATTTGGGCCATAACAATGACATTTGAATTTCTAAATTTTTTCAATTACTTACTTGTTCAGGTAACAATTATAGTATAATACAATTTTCTGTATACAGCCTGCATCACAAGACTTGTGTTCTTAAGGTCACAAAAAATGACACGTTTGAGTCCAGGAATCTAAGGACATTAAAGTAGACAACCGCCACAAAGAATGAAAATTGTTTCTTAATTGCAGTGCAGATATTTCTGCTGTGACACTTGCAGTATATGTCAAAAAAGATGTTGGTTCATAGTACTAGGCCCAAAACATTACTGTTTTCCAGTATTAGCCATGTTTGTGATTTTGAAGCAGCATCTCATTGCTACTATCAAGAAGCAAAGTAGGAAATGTAGGCATAACATAACATGGTATGTTTCCTTCCTTTTTTGTTCAATTATTTAAAAACTGTAAGACTTCTTTACAAATTTTGATCAAAGTATTATTTCTCTGACAAATATTTAGCAAGTTACATTCAACTTGTGCTCAGAAGTGCCATATAGCTCTCAAATGTCCTTTAGTTTTCTCTTTTAAACAAAGAAAAAATGGAATGTATCAGTAGATTTCAGTGAAACTCCCAGTTTCAAACATAATTCAGTACAATGTTATATTTTGTCGTCCTGCTACACTGATTCATGTCCATGGTTTATGCTGACCGCCTTACAGTGTATACACTTTTTCACCTTACTCTTCACTTCCACACTACATGTTTCAGCACTAATGTGCCATCTTCAGGTGTCTTTATGCATGTTAAACTATTGTACTTCATGCCATAATGTCTTCATTCTAAAATGATTAAAATCTGTGTTCGTCATATAGGACGACGAATTCTAAATAATAAAACTTCTCAGGATTCTTCCTACGTCGCACTCAAACACGTGAATTATGCCAATCCTCTTTTATGTGAGCATTCCTCCTACATATATTTGTGTATCTGTAACGTGAAATTGTTATTCATTAATATCACTTTCTGACTTCTATTTGTTACATGTGGTTTTATAATATTTATTACTCACTGTGTTCCGTGTTGTGTTTTGCTCCTGATACTGCATGCGTTGTACTGCTGGATCTGTGTGTGTGTGTGTGTGTCAGAAAGTGATATTAATGAATAACAATTTCACGTTACAGATACACAAATATATGTAGGAGGACTGCTCACATAAAAGAGGACTGGTGTAATTCGCGTGTTTGAGTGCAACGTAGGAAGAATCCTGAAAAGTTTTATCATTATTTAGAATTCATTGTCCTATATGACAAACACATATTTTAATCATTTTAGAATGAAGACATTATGGCATGAAGTACAATAGTTTAATGTGCATAAAGACACCTGAAGATGGCACATTAGTGCTGAAACATGTAGTGTGGAAGTGAAGAGTAAGGTGAAAAAGTATATACACTGTAAGATGGTCAGCATAAACCATGGACATTAATTCAGTACAATGATGAATATGGTCGTGGCCGAAGTACCCTGATTTGTGCAGTCAGGCATTTAAACACTGCTTGTGGAAGCGTGCATGCACGCCGCTAGGAGAAGCATATGCACAATCCTGAATATTTTTAAATATGGCAAAACTCAATATACATACATTTTTTTGTAATCTGCTTGACGTATATACAGGCTTCAACCCCCGTGTCACGTAACTGAATCTCACCTTTGTGTAATACTCTTTGAACCATCGGAGAAGGCACAATCCCACGCAACATATCTTGCATTTCAACTGCCTTTCGATTTCATCTTTCATCATCTTCCAAACATTTCATTGCCATTGTATGATAAAATGAAACTACAGTAGTCAAATTCACTGTGAACTTGCAGAAAGCTGAATGCACTCTGCATCTCAGATGTGATGCAAGGATTTGGTTGCAACCATAGAAAAGGCAATATTTCAAATGTTACAAGCAGGAATGATTTTATAATACTATGTGAAGAAGCAGGGAACTATTTTTAGAGTATGCATCAAAATTAGAAGGAAAAAATTAAAAACAGTTCATAACTTCCTTGTCTAAATATTTTCAAATCTTACATTACAATATGTGACACTGTGTTCTTTGCTGATAAAAACAGATCTAATTCCATTCATTTATCATAAAAATTGTATTAGATACAGCATTTTCATGTACAGTGCAAGCACCCTAATAGGAATGAACATTTAAATCCAGAGCAGTGACAGACATTTAAATAAACTCCAGCCAGCTCAAGCTACCACCGTTTCAAAAGTCCGTCATTTAAAGGTTAAATCTTTATCACTGGTTCTTGACTTGTACATGTGGTCAGACAGACAGACATGCATCTAACTAATAGCACATTTTTCAACTTTTGTTGTGAAATTGTGTTGATATCATGAAATACAAAATGATGGTGGGGAGTGCATGTAAAAATTACTATTAAGGCATTGATGTAAGATGCTATCCCTGTAACAAACAGGCTGTGGAGGCCTATACATTTGTGAGATGTCAAGGCTCCCACGTTTTCTAGACAGTTGGCTCACAGATAGTAATGTACTTTTCTGAATAGAACAAGAACAGACAGGGCCATTGTCGTAAGTTCTGTGATTAGAAGCAGAGAAGTGACTGCTCTTGTCTGAGCGGGATCTTGCAGTGTGTAACAGTGAACTGATAACAGTTCACTCTTGTCTGTGGATGGTTGTTGCGTCTGCTGATGCACACTAACAAGCCTGTATACAGTTTCTTTTAAGAGGTTCCAGTGAAAAGTAAAGTCGAGCTCTCCCTGTAAAGGCTGTGGAGGCCCATAGGGTTGTGAGATGCTGAGGTTCCCACATTTTGTAGATGGTCGGCTCATAGATGGCGGTAAGGTTGTCAGCCTTATGCGCTGGCCGCCCTTTACTCCCAAGAATATTCCTGGTACTCATTTCTGTTAGAGGCTGAGTCAACCCCAGGGCCATAGTGCGGTTAGAAGGATGAGGTCAATTGAAAAAAAATCCAGTGACCTCATTGGGACTTGAACCCGTGACCTTCCGTCTTGTAGCATAGTGCCTCAACCAGCTATGCTACCACTTGCCCCAAGGTTCCAGCAAATTTCATAATTAATGAACATGCCTGGTAACACTAGTTGAGGACATCCGATATGCTGATTCCAAATCTGGAAACACAAATTTTGCCTTCAGTCAGTTTCATTTTTTTTTTTTTACTTTCATATCCTTTTTCATTGTGTTGTAATTCATCAACTGAAAGGTGTGCAAGTTTTGTTTTATTGATCAGAAGGCTATTCTCATTTAACCCTTATCCAGGAATATGGGCTTTTAAATCCCCCAGTATTATGGCTCTGGTGGCAGTGGTATTAATACTGAATAAGAGAAACACTAGGCTGGCTGCACTGTATGTATGCACCACTGCAACACTTTCATTATTTAAAATTGTGTAATAAGTGGTATGTACATTGATCATGTCTTAAAAATGATAATGATGATGGTTGTCATTTTTGTGACCAGGCTACCCAAATCAGCCAAAAATTGTTGTTCTATGCTATTAACAAGCCTGGATGAAATCTGATTTATAGGTCCCAATGAATCTCTTCATAATGTACATGGCTGGTAATTCAATTTCCATCTTCCCCATAATGATGGTAGGAATGCTCATTGTACGACCAGTGAAAGCTCTGTTCACAATGCAGAATAGTAAGTATCTGATGTACATATATAACTGCAGTTGCAGAAATATGCTTAATACAGTAAACCCTCACTAACCCATTTGCAGTTAATCCAAATCAAAAAATGAAAAATGCTGTCCACAGTTGAGTCACTTGTCTCTTCAGACAAAACTTGACAGTTTATTCAAAATTATTACATTCAAAACAAGTACAACTTCTGAGACTTCTGTCGATGAATAAATATTTATTGTATTTTTATAGTTCATAAATAAAGGTTCTTCAGATCCGTATCACGAGTTTTATGGCAGTGTCAGAATGTCATATGTAACGTGTGAATGCAATATATATTTATTTACTTGAGCTACATGAGCTCCTTGGATTGCTTAAAACTTACCACTATGTCACTTTCTTTCAGCTTTCAAGATGATTGAAGGGAGCCATGCTGTAGGACAAAAACTGGTATATTTCTTGGGAAATATTGTGAGTGTAGCTTTAGCACTGTATAAATGTCATTCCATGGGTCTTCTTCCATCACATGCATCTGACTGGTTAGCATTTGTGGAGCCGCAGATGAGAGTAGAATATTCAGGAGGAGGGATGTTGCTGGTGTAGGTGTACAAGACAACACTTCAACCACTGGCAACTAGAGGATTATCACTACCATGTTAAGTTGAAAACAAGAATGTGCCTACTGAGGACTTTATCAGATATCAAAAAGAACAACTTAAATAAAAGTGGAAATTGTTAGTTACCAACATGTTATATCTTGTATGTCTCTTACATTGTTACATAATAAATTACACATGTATCGTTCTGTTCTGATGTGTATATGCAATTCATCACACTCAATACCATGAAGTAAAGGTTACTACATATATCACAATATGTCGCACTGTTCTGATCCATGCAGTCTGTAAGAATAATAAATGGAACATTTAAGGCATGGCAGTCGTGCGTCCTGCTAACCTTACAGGGAAGCATCCTGTTTGTGTTGATCACTAGTTAGTTAGTTATTTTAGAGACGGTGGGTTTCCCCATGCACCGCGACCAGTTTGATCTATTGTGCTTCCCTCTATGATATTCTACCAGTCTCTTTACCCTACCGATAAATGGTGCGTACCATCAGTCCCGCCGAGCAAGCGAGTTCAGCCGCTTTGCTTAGCGGTGTCTATAATGCTTTCCCCATCTATTGGAGGCCTTAGAGGCTATTGTTGGGCGGGAAACGTCCTGGAATTTGGCTCAGTGATCCCCTTTGGGGATATGAGGTTCTTTTATGTGCCATAAAGTTACGACACGGGACACACAGCTTAAAGTCCCTCCTGGAGGACTTGTTCCCTGAATTTTTCCGCCCTTAAAAATTCGACGACCTCCGCCGGGTATTTGAACCCGCGTACCACGAGTCATGAGGTGGGAACGTTACCTCTGGACTACAGAGGCCGCTGTGTTGATCACTAACAGAACTACCTGTTGCTGTCACACAAAAACATATCAGCTATCATTTCACACTGCACAATTTTGACTACTGCATATTTCATCCCACTTGGGGGCCAAAATCAGAGTGTAATAACACTTGCAGCATCACTGGGCCACCCATATAGGGGAAAGTTAACGATAAAATGAAGTGATTATTAAAATTCAAGTCACTAAATCAGAGGGACCTGTTTCATAAGTGGTAATATCTAAAGACATGCCGATCACAGTGTCCACATGGTCTAATGCATGAAATGTCTTCACTTGCTTGAATGCTGGGATTGTGGGTTTGAATCCCACTCAAGGCATGGATGTTTGTCTGATTTTATTCTATGTAGTTAGTGGCCTTGCAATGGGCTGATGCCCTGTCCAAGGAGTCGTACTACTGACTGTCTAAGATTAAGAAACTGAAGTGAAACAAAGTTTCATGAATGCCCTGTGCTCCAAGTGGGAGAAAAATGAATGAATGTATGTGTGTAGGTGTGGGTGGGTGAAAGAAAAGACAAATGTTCTTCCATTAAGAGTTAAAATGTAAATTCAAATCCTGAAAAATATGTGATATTTGAGATTCTCATGGCAGTAGCTATGAATAGTACCATCTTCTGGGATGTGACATTTTATAAACTGGTAAGTGTACTGACATTTCAGAGGAATGTTCTTCTGAGTTGAAGAGTAAGCCAAGCAACAGGTTGCCCTGCCTGCTCCAGCTTACTCTTCAATCCTGAAGATGGAGGAGGAAGTATATTCCTCCAAAACTTCAGTAAACTTCTACCACACTACACAGTGTCACATCACAGAACATAGTAGTTTTTAATTAAAATGTAAATAGATGTTTCATTTAGTTTTCATTGTTTATTTACTTTTGTAATGACTACAGTTTGTAAGCATTAAATTGTTTTGTGTATTATATTTTCATTTTATAAACATAATACTGCTCCTCCTTTTATGTTATTTTAAGAATTATAGGCCATTAACATATGGTGAACTGCTGATGCAAGACGTGTTTGCTTATTTTCTAATATGATAATGATCTACGGTTCTTAACACTTTGCGGACCGGCAATTTAAATATTTAAATCACCCTGGGGACTGGCATTTTTTAACCCACTACCCTAACTTGTTCACTGTTCACTTTAAAAATTAATATAAAATATCCTAATTTTATGAACTAAAATTTTTGGAGAACACTTACCAATGCTTCTAGAAGTGCTTGAGAGTGTGATATTTCTGGAAACATTCCCCTTCTACCTGCACTTTCGTCAGAGCTACTTTCACTTTTATTGTCTGTGGCCACAATTGTTTGTTGTCCTCTGCCACTGCCACTGTCAAATCACTATCACTACACATCTCAGAAGGAATGTTAAATAGCTCATGTCAGATATTGCTTGGTTTTCAACCACTTCTGTCCTTGAGTCATTGCACAACTAACTTCCTGCCTGGTACATAAGAGCTTGAAGGGTCAAAGATAATTTTCCTATGGAGGGGGTACCCAAACAGCGAGATCAAGTTATTGCCTACTAAGCAAACATTCCGGAATAATATTCCACAGTAGTCATTTTATTTGGGTGGCGCCAGAGAAAGGTATAGTGTGTTACAATTTAACATGTCCTAAAGTCATAAAAATATGCCACCGGTCCACCACGTTTAAAAGCACTGGGCATAAAAATATGCCACCAGTCCGCAAAGTGTTAAGGTAAAATAAAAATACATATTATGTTTATAAAACTAAAATATACACAGTTGAACCCTGATATAGTGCAACTCTTTGTTGATTGCAACTTGTGGCAGTTATTGGAATAAGCTTTTTGAAAACTCATAAAATTGACTTGGAAAAATATGTTAATTACAAAATAAGAACATATCAGAATAAAATTTGATACAGTAGCACCGTACTTGCAAATCACTGTCATTTCAGTGGTACAAAATGCGAGGGCATATCAAAAAGTCTTTGCCCCCATTTTTTTTCAGCTACAATAATACACATACAGGGAAATCAAAATGCAGGCAGTGTTCTAAGTACCTTTGACTATTTTTCCACATAGTTACCACCCTGGTTCAGGCATTTGTCCCATGACACCACTAGTTTGGAGATGCCGCTGTTGTAGAATTTGGCCAGTTGAGTGCGAAACTACCGCTGGACAGTGGTTTTCGTGTCATCATTGGAAATGAACCTCTGGCCTGCCAAGAACTTCACTGGATTGAACACATGGTAATCACTGGGGGCAATGTCTGGACTATACGGTGCATGTTTCATAATCTCCCATCTGAATGACTGAAGTTGGGTGGCGGTCCTGTTTGCCACGAGGCCTGGCGTTGTCATGGAGGAGAACCACATCGTCCATGAGAATCCCCGGGCGCGACTGCAGTCATTCAGATGGGAGATTATGGAGCATGCACCATATAGTCCAGACCTTGCCCCCCAGTGATTACGTGTTTGGTTCACTGAAGAAGTTCCTGGCAGGCCAGAGGTTCATTCCCGACGACGCAAAAACCGCTGTCTGGCGGTGGTTCTGCGCTCAACCGGCTGAATTCTACAACAGCGGCATCTCCAAACTAGTGGTGCGATGGGACAAATGCCTGAACCGGGGTGGTGACTATGTGGAAAAATAGTCAAAGGTACTTAGAACACTGCTTGTATTTTGATTTCCCTGAATGTGTATTATTGTGGCTGAAAAGAATAGGGGCAAAGACTTTTCGGTTTGCCTTTGTATTTCTCAACCAGCTTCAACATGTTACACTGTGTTGTCAGTGTTCTGTTCAAAATACTGACATATTTTTTTAAACTTCTATTTGAGTCTCCTTAGCAGAAATTCTTTCATAGACTTCAGGATCCGCATTTTCACTGTCACTTTGAACAGCATCACGCCCTCCAGCATTAGTTATAAAATTTCTTCTATAGCCATTTCTGTAAAAACTGGTTTCTCTGTATTAACTTTTTCTGCAGTGAACTGTGTTGCAGTCCGTGTAAGATCACACACTATGTTTCACAGATCTCAAACTGAGTTGTCTTCACCTTGAGCCAGATGCGTGCCTACCAGTGTCCCAGTATGTACCCAGCAGTTGCTGACAGTTTCTGGCGAAACTCTGTCCCATGTGAATTTTAATTAAACACGGCAGTGCAACTGAGATGCTGTTAATACATTCCATTATCTTCCATACTTTATGCCATCAGTAGTATGCCTTGAAACTTTTGAATGTGATGGAAGGTACTTCAGCTGTCACGTTACTGAGATTTACAGGTTTGTGGTATGGAACATTGTCTATTAATAACAAAGTTTTTTGTGTTTTCCTTTTCATTTCTTTATTGAAGTTGATGAATCATGCACTGCATCATGTGGTCATCCACCCTTTATGTTGTGTGTAACTGATGTTAATGGGTGGATTGAAATTCTTAAAAACAGCGTGGTTTAGCAGATTTTCCAATCACTGTTAAGTTCGTTTGTGAGAGCAAAATGTAAGGGCGATTATGGCTTCTGCTTTCTTGCAATGTTTTACTGGTCCTGTCAGTCTGCATCCTGTAGAACAGTGCAGTTTCGACCATGTTGTAGACATCATTACGATCTTATTCATTGGTGATTTGTAAAAGTCTTTGTCTCCCTACTTCACCCACTTCTGTGTTTATCTCTGCCATTTCTCCTTGTTTTACATGCTGCAGTAGTCTGTTGTGCTGTTTGAGGAATGTAGCCATCCCCTACTCTGTGTGAACTCCACAACATTCATCTGATGTCAGATTTCTTTTGACTCCTTAACAACTTCATCTGTTGCTGTACCACTTTTAGTCCTATCCATGTTGCTAATGCTTCTCTTTTTAGCTTTTTTTTATCACTTGCCAGATTTTCCCACTAAGCCTATTGCTAATATGGTGTCAACTGATGGGTTTGTCCCATAACATGGAAAAATGGTTTAGTATTGTGCTGAAAGGCTGCAGAAAATGAGTCTGTAAATAAGCACAGACATTTTTCTGTTCACTAACACTCAATGCTTTCCTTTTCCCCATACTTCACTTCCCTAAAAGGATAATTAGAAACTGTACTGCGGTGTTACAGTCATCTGAAGACGACTTAAAACAGCTGCAGTGCTGCCTTGGTTGTGAAATTGTACAGACTGTCTTCTATAGTAACTAACAGTAAATGAATTTTCCATAATCTCAAAAGAAAGACAGAGTCCAGAGTTCATGTCTGACCTGAGTTGCGATGCTTAGACAAGTAGAGTAAATGTTCTCCTCCTCAGTTAATTTTCCTGAAGGATTAGAAAAGAAAACTGTTTTCTGAAATGCTCTGAAGCATCGTAACAGTCGTGAAACCCTTTTATAATTCTGTATTCTCATTACCGTTGCATTTTTTTCAGATGGTGAAAAGTAAAAGAGCATTAGTATATTTCATAAAAGCTGCTTCTAACAATATTCAGAGGTTATTATACCTTGTCTTTATACAGCACATTTTAAAAGTCTTCTTTTAGAAGGTACAGTACCAATTAAGCTGAGGTCAGCATTACTTAATTGTTCCTTAAAATGTTTATGTTTTTGGAGATCCAAGTTCAAGCTTGGATTTCCATACCCAGGGACAACAAGAGGAAATATCATAACACCCGACCTTCCCTTGCCCACTTTCATAGACTTAAATTCTTACTTACACCCTAATAAAAATCTAATCAAGAAATTTAGCTCTAGCACATGCAAAGTGTGAAAGTAGTAACATGCTATATTTGTACCACTGAAGTCTTTGGCAAATGCCTGCTAGAGGGGCTGATGCTATACCAAGGGTTTCCCAGGGATAATATAATAGGGAATTTCTGTTCATAGACCTTGATGGGCACAAAGTGAGGGAGGCACTTTGTCAGGGTTTGACTGTGTGTCCAATTTGGTGCCTACAGACTATATAGCGACTACAAATGTGCAATCACTATGACCAAAAACTAAATGGAACAACTAAGTACAGTAACCTGTCACTAGTCCGGTTACAGTTAATCTGGATCACAAATATGAAATATGAAAAATGCTGTTCACAGTTGAGTTACATACTTTAAAAGACAAAAGACATTTAGGAGGCAGATGAGTCAGTTGTCTGTTCAGACAATTCAAACCTGTATTACATTAAAAATCAAGCACAACTTCTTAGTCTTTATCAATGAATAAATATATTGTCTTGTAGTTTCTAAGTAAAGGCTCTACAGTGATATATTTATTTATTTTTTTTTCATCAGCACTTCTTATATCATTAAATTTCCCATGTATTTGAGTTCTAAGTTTTTTTCTTTAGGGCTACCTTTTACTTCACTAATATGGATTATCGCTTAATCTGGATGACCTCTCCCCTCACTTACACTAGATCAGCAAGGGGTTTACTGTATATCACTTATTTTTAATATTAATATTTAATATTATTAAACATGAAATTAGCCCTTCTCATTTACTGACTCTGACCTTGATGGAAACTGATTTTGTTGTATTGTTACTTTGCAACTTAGGTTGATTTCATGTTGTGATAAATGTACTTATGCCAGCTGATGATGATTCACAAGGGGTGATACATGTAATGGTTATAAAGATATTCTATGAAATGGTAACCAGTCTGTTTTGTGTGATGCAGCAAAAGGGTTTATTGTACTAACCTCACAATGTACACCTACAGGCAGTAATACATATACATATATATATATATCTATAAAAACAATACAAGTCTTAAATTTTTGCTGCAGCAGTTAAAATGTTTATGGCAAGTAATGTATGGCTTCTTTATGTTCCATGAAAATAAGTGTGATTCACATCATTGTTGCAATTCACTGACCTGAAAATGGAAGACACTTTATAATATTTGTTATCTGAAACCATCATAAAAAAATTGCATGTGGATTTCAAATATTGCTTGCTGTTTTAGTGCTGCGTAGTCTGAGCTGGTGAAAGCATTGCAAAATAAACAACAGTAAATAAATAAAATGTTTGATAGATGGCCTGCAAAGGAGAAAGGATTAATATGAACATAAGAAGTGTAAACACTGTAAGAATACAAGGAATTACATAGCTTCCATTCCTTTGTGTCCTCCTAAACATGCTTCTCACACCTGCTCGCAGGACCACCTGGTTGCCAGAATATCGCTAACTACATGGTTAACTGGTAAGCATTGTGCGGTGTTCATCCAATCACAGCTTCACCTCTGACACACTGCCTAATGCTGGAGATAACCAATCCCTCCAGAAGCCATCAACCCTGAAAGTGCAACTGCAAGGTTTGCTCAAATGGAGTACCCTTGACATTCAACATAGCCAAATCGTGAAAGCCATGACTACACAGTTTCCACCGATTAGATGAGAGTCAATGAATTGGAAAGGTGTGGAATGAAATGGTCATGACCTAATTTAAGATACTATTGTGGCAACTGCCTGGAGGGACTGAGGAAAGCCATGATAGTCACTGCTCTGCTGAAGATTCAGACTGATCACCACCTTCCTGAATGAGAGTCAGAAGTGTTACAGTTTCAGCCAGATTTCCTGGTACTAATACGTGTATAAATTCAGTCTTCAGATCATGATTAGTTTCTATGTATACAAGAGAGTACAGGGGGCACACGGTAGCATAGTTGGCTGAGGCACTATGCTACAAGCTGGAAGGTTGCTGGTTTGATTCCCGATGATGTCGCTGAATTTTTCAATTGACCTAATCCTTCCAGCTGTACTATGGTCCTGGGGTTGACTCAGTCTCGTAACAGAAATGAATACCAGGAATCTGTAAGGCTGACCTAACTGCCATCTGTGAGTCAGTTGTCTAGAACAGTGTTCTGCAACCGGTGTGCCGTCACAAGGTGAAAGGTACGACGCAAACTTTTACCTATTGTAAGAAATTGTCGAATTTTATTCGTTTTATTTTATCCCAGTTACCATGTTTCATATGCTTGTATTTTATTCTCAGCCACTGCACTGATTAAATAAGATGATGCACACAAGCTGCAAAGCTAACTCAAAAACAATTAACAAAACTAAGAATAAATAACGAACTAAAATTCTTATACATTAAAAAACAACAAATTAATAATAAACTATATGAAGTTCATTTAAAAAATGCTCAGTTCTGGAATTCCAACTGGCAAATAATAGAAAACAACATAAACACAACGCTAAATGAAGAAATGGAAGAACACTACGCCAAACTTAAAAGGAAAATAAACAAACAAACTCCCAGTGATACACAACCTCAAAAAAAGCAAACCTTCTACCCACGCACACACAACTTGACAAATATACAATTCACAAAAAATGAGGAGGACATGTTAAACAAAGGTATTAAATACAATATAGAAATACCGCCTAAGATGTGCGTAAAACAAATTGTTTACGAAACAGAAAATGCAATACGACAAATAAAAGACAGTAAACAACAAGAAGCAATCAGATACTTAGCAACAAAAAACCTAAAACAAATCTTAGCTAATCAAAAAACAAATAATAGAAGAAATAAGGAACAACTATACACCACCAAACAAATAAAACACAAACTAACACAAAATAACGCAACTGTAGCTGAAGCAGACAAAGGAAGAACATTAGTAATTATTTACGAAAAAGACATAAATAACAAAGTAAAACAATTCATCGATAATAATAACATTATCGAACTAAAAACAAATCCTACATCGAGGTTCCAGAAATTAGTGGAAAACACATTAAAAACATGTAAGAACGTAATAAAACCAGAAACTAGAAAGTACACACACCAAATGAACCCACAAGCCCCTAAATTGAATGCAAAAATAAAAATACATAAACCAGATGCACCAATAAGGCCAATAATAAATAATACCAATGCCCCCACACACAAACTAGCTAAACATATGCACCAACAACTACAAACTTTATTAAACTTAAAATATGAATATAACATCACTAACACCTTAAACTTCGCAAACAACATCAGCAAACTAAAACTAAACCCAGAACACAAACTTCTCACGATGGATATTAAAGATCTATATGTAAACATTCCAATAAACGACGTAATACACATCACCAACGATTCACTTATCCAAAATCATATAGACAAAACCACCAAAGACGAAATTATCACAATCCTCCAAATGATATTGAATCAAAATTATTTCCAATACAATGATAAATTTTATAAACCAAACTCGGGTGTAGCCATGGGTTCCCCTTTATCAAGTTTAATGGCGGAAGTATTCCTACAACACTTCGAACAAAGAAAGGTAAAACTTTTACTAGAAGATAAACGCATCATCTACTACAACAGATACGTAGATGATATAATTATGATTTATAACCGATCAAAAATAACACCCCAATACATTTTAGATCAATTCAACAAGCAAAATAATAACTTGCAATTCACACTAAATGAAGAAGATAATAATCAAATAACGTACCTAGACTTACAACTAACTAACAACCACGGGCAAGTAAGAATGGAGATATTTAGAAAACCCACATCGACAGACACAACGATAAACAATAAATCCTGCCATCCCAAAGAACAAAAATTGGCAGCATACAAAAACTGGATACATAGATTATCCATCCTACCTATGGATAACGCAGCAAAAAATAAAGAATTAAACATAATTATTAATATCGCGGAAAACAATGGTTACAATAAAGAACTCATCACACGTATGTATCATAAACGTCAACAACAAAAAACAAAGGGCCCCATTGAAAGAAGAGAACAGAAATGGGTTTCCTACACATATAACGGAAACTACACAAGAAAAATTACGAAACTATTCAAAAACACGAACGTAAGGATAGCTTTTAAAGTAAATCATACATTAGGTAAAATACTAAACCAAAAACAAAGCATAAATTCTTACGAACAAAGCGGCATATACAAATTGACATGCCAGGAGTGCCAACAGGTGTATATAGGTCAAACAGGCAGAAAATTGATAACACGCTATAATGAACATATAAGAAGTATAAGATTCAATAAAAATGACTCAGCTTATGCTCAACACATCTTAAATAGACAACATCAATACGGCCCAATTTCGCAAATCATGGAACTGATTGAAGTGGCAAGGAAAGGTAAATTAATGAATATAAAGGAAGAATATCAAATTTACCGCCACTATAGGGAAAACAAATTAATAGATGAGCAGAAACAGGCAAAAGAGATCAATAACCAGAACAGCATGTTCGACCTCATTACTACTTGTATAAACACACCCACCACCACGTCATAACACACAAGGCCTTAAATAACACTGACGTAGATCACCCACTGCAGTACACAACACACAACGCGTAAGACACATCCGACCAAAAGGTAAGCAAGGATCAAATACAACACTAAGGGAAAATAAAAATTAAATATATAATAATATATAAAACCTAATATAATACAATATCTTTGCAGCATACACAACCTCAAGTTGACGATTCCCATCACCGGGACGAATCAACAAGAAGGAGCCAAATTTTATTTCAAATGTTTTAAGCTTTTAAATATTTTAACATTGACGGCTCAATTTGAGAGCATTCTTTGGATGGAATGCAAGAGGTGTACATGCATTCAACGTTACTAGAAAGTGTTGTGCTTTTACACTCCGACATCTGTAGCAGATCACGCAGCTTACATACTGTGTACAATACAACGCCAGTGGTTTCATGTGTTTGTAACGTGCCTCTGATGATGGTTCTTTTGAACCGAAACATGTAAGGCGAGTGAAATAAATAAGTGACCTAAGAACGTTGTTACACTCGACGGATTATTCATTGACAAGATGATGCTTGTTTATTCTTTATTACATGCTGTGATTTTTTATGTACAGTAATGTTGTATTCTAAGAAATTAAACGTAAATTATTTACTCACAGTTGTTATATCATAGTTTTCATTACTGATTTATTTTTATTTTTCTTGCATCTATGCAGCTTCTGTGATATGCTTGCTGCATGTTCTGTGTACATGCTTTTCCCTAAAACTGCAGGGATTAGCATGGGTTTCCCTGTCTTTTATAACGCTGTTTTGGTATTTGCCTGTTTGTTAGCAGTTAGAGCTTCTTCAACTTTATGACTTTCTTCCTGTAACGATGCACCCACCGATTGTTGGACTTCATTTAAAATTATAAATATTTAAAAAATAAGTCTGTATAGTGTCACTTCTTCTATTTGAAGAGTAGAGATCCCGCGTTTTACAATTGTTTCAGTTCTATGACAGCTGTGCTCTGAAGTAGTTCGCAAATTTTGGTTGCTAGTTAGAGAATTACAGATGGGTCGTTTGAGATGTCCCCGACTGTATGGCCACTTGCTGACGGCAATAAAGTGGTGATGGACACAATTAACACTTTTGGGACTGGTGGCATATTTTTATGCTCAGCGCTTTTAAACGTAGGGGACCGGTGGCATATTATTATGACTTTAGGACACGTTATGTTGAAACACACTATACCTTGCTCTGGCGCCATGCAACTGCAATGAATACTGCGTAATAAATCTTCGGAATGTATGCTAGGTATTCAGTAACTTGACCTGGCTGGCTAGGGTCCCTACTCCAAAAGAAAATAAACTTTGCCCTGTCCAACTGTTTATGTACCAGGCAGGAAGTTAGTAGAGGGGAATATGTTTCAAGGACAAAAGCGGTTGAAGGCAAGCATCTCTCTGACTTGTTTTCCGATGAGCTATCTGAGGTGCCTTATGGAGGAGTAGTGATTAGTGACTCAGACAGTGGAAGTGACAGGGGTCAACAAAGAATTGTGGCCACAGATAATAAAAGTGAAAGTTGCCTTGTGGCTTATAAATTGTGCCATTTTCAATTAATTTTTCGTTTACAAAAATCTAAACCCTGATTCTAAATTGAAATACAAAGCATTTCTAATGAATGTGGCAAAGGCTTGGGCTACAGACCAGATGGTGGCGGCAGAACCAGAGTCAGACAGACTTAGTGCGACCTAGCCCATCAAC